CGAGTCGCTAGCTTATGTGTTCTTGAACGGTCTGCTCCAGCTTTTTCTCCTCGACGTCGAGCTACGTGCGTAGGTGTCCGCAACGGCGGTGGAGAGGGCACGGGCCGAGAACGCGAAGTGGTAGAGCGGGCATGTGGAGCTGGAGCAGAGCGAGGTGCGGATGCAGACGGCGTGGAAGCGTGACCGCAGGGCGATCCTCGCCGTCGAACTTCTTCTTCCTCCCGACGGCGACGACATCAATTGTGGCCTGGTCGAGCCCAAGCCCCGTGTCGTGGCCTTGTCGGGAAGGCCGGTCGGGACGGCCTGCAACGGCAGTGGTGGCGACGACGACAGCAGCGGAAGGAGGGCGGCGCGTGCTGGCGTCGACGACGAGGTTGAGTATAATGTTTGTGAGGGAGATGGAGCTGGTTCAGGCCGCGTGTTGACGCGGTGAGCAAGCGCATAGCAGAGGACGCATGTGAACAGCAACGGCGTCGACTAGCTGCTTGTTAGTTACTATGGATGAAACTTGAAAATAGAGAGATGGAGTGAGGAGAGAGAATGGGCTGACCTGTGAGGCCCACAAGGGTAAAACAAACAATTCACCACTGCTTTTCCATGCTGGCATGCGAGCTGGCACTCCACGTCATCGAAAGTGGCAAATAATTATGGACTTATCTCTCTCCTATGGCAAATATGTAAAGACAATCATAAAAGCGGCAGTTAGAGAGTTACCTTCCATGGCAAATAGTTAAATTTTCCTCAAGAGGAAGCAGACGGACGCAAGCAGACGAACGCGCAGGGGTTGTTCTTGGAGACGATGTTCTGAGGCTGACAGTGGGCCCCACCGCAGATCGTCAAAGGGCTCGTGGTCGTCTGCGGCCTCCTTGACCGCTGCATCTGATTATACTATATACTCGTTGCCCTGGAAGAAAATTACTCGCTAACCCATACAAAAATACGTGGTCAAATTTGCGTTAAATAAATTTGAAATTGATTCTTTTCCCAGACTGAAGACAAAGTAGTCTTTTTGAGGGAGAAAGGAGATTCTACTTTCTCTCTTTTTCAGTTTTTTTTTTATTTCAGTCGTGGGATTTTTATGTGCTTTAAACATGTTTAAGAAGATTCTGAGTGTTCTTTCCACGTCATCCCATGCTAATTTGTCCGCACTAGGATTAATAAAGTTAAATTACAATATCTGAAACGCCAAATGTCTGCAGTCTGCAGAAAGATCGATGGATCAGTCAACTAGTACATGATGATCGATGTTCTTGCACTCGAATTAAAATTCCAATTTCAGAATATGGCATGAGATCATTGTACTAATTGGTAATTAATTACTTGCCTTTTAGCTGGTTCGAAAAAAAAATATTACTCTACTTGCCTTCAGGGGTGGATCCAGAAATAAAAAGTTAAGTTGGGGGACTCAATATACCGAGTACACCGATATAAACACATAATCTCAGTATTAAATTATACTAAAATGCTATTATGAGACCATTAGCACATCCTATCTTATCAACCATGACGAAAAAATTGAAGGGGGCTTAGGGGGGTATCCATGGGTTTTGTGGGTGAGTCCCCCATGCACCCACGTTGGATCCGCCCCTGCTTACCTTATAGAGGCCATGCTTGTAAATAGCAAGTGTTGCATCAACGCAGCTCGCTTATGGCGTCCACGGGGTTTTCAATTTTGATTTTTTTTTTTGCCGAGGGGACCGAAATTTCAAAAAAAAAATGCCGAAATTATTTGAAATTTTGACTGATTTTGAATGAATTTGAATAAAATTTGATCAAATTCATAAAAATTTGCAAAAAAAAAATTCAGGCGAGATGTGAGCTTGCCGGTGGGGGTCGAAATTTCAAACCCTGATTATATATATCTATATGAGCCGTTGTATTTATTCCTACCCTAGTTGTAGATAGATCGAGGCAGGTACTCAATGGAAATGGCAGCGCGGGTATTCGCACTCTTCTTGGGCACCACAATCATCCTCGTCGTCTCCACTGCACCGCACGCCCATTCCTACCCGGCGGCGGCGGCGCTCCACCACCAATGCATCGGCGCACCAGCAATAGGAGGAGAGAATCCCTTGGAATACAAGGAGTACATCGTCCTCCTGAGACCGTGGCCAGATGCCGCCACCGCCGGCATGGACGACGACGACGGCGCGCGGCGGAGCTGGTGCCTGTCCTTCCTCCCTGGCAACATCACCGCCGGCGGCAAGCCGCGGCTGGTCCGCTCGTACAAGCACGTCGTCAATGGCTTCGCCGCCCTGTTGACGGAGGCCGAGATGGACGCCGTGTCCAAGAAGCCCGGCTTCTGGCGCTGTTTCCAGAACGGCATCGCTCGCCTCTGCCTCCAAGCCCCCTAAAAATATATTCATTCGCTTGCATTGCTGGTTAATTTCCTGCTGACAGCAAAGGACGCTTTAAACTCAACTCCGATGATCGATGTCCTGCTGTAAACTCGGATCGTACATGGAGGAATAAATTCAATTAGGAATTTATGGAGGAATTAATTCATGGTATTAAAATATTATAGAATTTTTTTCCCCTTTATTCAAAGTATTGGAGTTTTCTAAATCCTATAAAATTCCTATTAAATGGCTCATTGCATGTAGATTTTATAGGAAATTTAACAAGAGGTTTAACCTCTTGGAAAAATTACTTTGAATCTATCTATGTAATATGATTCATGCGTATTTCTTGTGGTTCAATCAAACGATCATTCATGTGTTTTGCAATCCTATTGTTTTAAGGAATTTTACCGTCCTTGGAAAAGTAGCTTAAGGTACTTAAATTTGAGAAAGTAGTTTAAGGTATTTAAATTTTACACTAAAATTTTTGGTACCTTGAGGTATTTAATACCTAGAGGCACCAAATTTTACACTATATAGTACCTTCTCAAGGATGATAAAATTACCCTATTGTTTTACCCTTATATTCCTGATAAAATCTTGTGTCTTTTCTATTACTCTTTTTTTCTCTTCATCCCTACGATTCAAAAAGACAGATGATGTCATGTGTTCAAATGGTTCTCCATATTAGAATTCGGTGGGTTATTTATTCATTGTGTTTCCTGCAAGCAAAACTGGATTAAATTAGCATGCCCCTTCTTTTCTCAGACATGACAATCCTTGTCATTTGAAAAGTTCAGGAAAAAAGAGTTTTAGTACAACATAATGAATGAACAAACTGATTCTTGGTTTGCATATAATTAATACTTTTTCCATCCCAAAACATTCACCCAAAATCCCTTAATTATATTTTAGGACAGAGGAAGTATTCACTTTAACAATCACACATTGAATCAGTAGTTTCTTAAAGTATGTTTGATCCTGGTTTTCTTTATTGAACACTCCTCATTCAGATCCTCCTAGTGAACGTACATTGTTTTTAATCAAACAAGATAAACTTCTGAATGTGAAATTCCTTTTTGTTTGTGGTTGTCACAGAGAATTTTGCTCAATAACTTGTCGAGATGTCCATTTCGGAACTACAATTGATTTGAAGGTATATATATCCACAGTTCATTTTCTACTTATAACATGTCTTGCTTCCTTGTTACATTTAAGGACCTTCCTGACAATGGAAATTATTATCATATTACAGAGATTGGTTTGTCTCAGAACTCCTCTCAGTTACCTTCAAGAAAGTGTACAGCACGATGCACCACTAGAATGGTCGGATAAGGACTAGGATTATTTGATACTAGTTGGCACCCACGTTTTGCCGCGGGTTTTATAGTTTTATCGTCAAACAAATTTATAATTTTAAATGATTAGATGTAACTCTATGTATATACAAAATATATGATAATGTGGATTTATATATGCTTTATGTTATTACAATACAATTCATACTTTATTTTTTCAAGTGTCATTGTGTATTGTTATAATATATAAATATTATTTTCATGCGTAATATGAGTATCATTATAGTTAGACAATTTGCATCTCTCTACTTCACTCAACTCTTTTCTAAAAATAGATACAGATAACGTTACTAAATAATTATATGCTATCTTATCATGCATAATAAAACAAAACACACATATTAAATAATAATTTAAGTTGTATTCGAAAAATATAGTGTGCAAAAAATATGTAACAGTGCTATGTGTGACTGTGAGGTGGAGCAAAGGGAGGTGAATGGATAACTAATAAATAATTGAATTGGATAAATAAGTAGCTTCTTAATCCAATGGTTATTATTATCTTTGTACTAATATAATCTAATGGCTTAAAATTATTGATGATGTGGCTTTTTGCATGTCTTATTTTATAGGAGTAAATATCCCTTAGTGGAGCAAAGGGAGTATATAAGATCAATGAATTTCATAGTATTGGCATTTTGTCAGGAGACAGCCACCTGCTGCCTAAAAAATGTAACGCTACCTTCCCTATTCAATGAAATTGATGGCTCACAAATAACCTATTGAATGAAATTGATGGCTCACAAACAATGTAGCACTGATGTCTCAGACATGGTAACCTGGCTAAACCCCATCTCATCCCACGAGGAACATGCTAATTTTTTAATAAAATAGATGGTCAAAATTAATCACGTTAAATATTTATGACCACAGAAGAGGGAGTATAAAAGTTTTGCTCGTAATTAGTTGTTTCGTCTATTTTATTTCTACAGCTTTTTATTCGTAACAAGACAGTAATAACTCATCAACCAATAAAACACCAAGTATATACTCCCTCCATACTCGTAAAGAAAGTCGTTTTGGACAGAGATATGGTCTCCAACACACAACTTTAACTTATTATTTCTATAAAAATATTTATTGAAAAGTGATATATGTATACTTTTACGAAAGTATTTCTCAAGACAAATCTATTCATATATTTTTTTACATTTTCAAAGTCAACAACTTGAGAGTTATTCATAATTTATATTTTTAAGGTTTGACTTAAACATTATCCTAAACGTCTTTCTTTACGAGTACGGGGGAGTATAATACTATATCCAGCAACCAATCTGAGAAAGTAAAAAGAAGAAGCTAGTACTAAAACACTAGAATAGCTAGTTGGATTAATATCCATCATCAGCTGCATTATTTATTTATTTGTCTCAGATCTCATAAATCATCCCGACCTGCAAGGTCTTGGCATGGTCGAGCTTGAGCGTGGAGACGTTGGACCTAAAGTTCTTCTGCAAGAACCTGTAGAGCTCGTTGATGACGAATCGCTTCGGCCAGTTGCGCGCCCTCCGCATCCTCAGCACCGTCCTCCCGATCACGTAGCTGACGCCGCTCGCCGGAGCCCGCCCGATCATCTCCGCCTCCTCCTCGCCGGAGTCGGCCTCCGCCGCCGCCGCCGCCACCTCGACCAGCGCGGCGACGGCAGCGCGGACGAAGTCGTCCCCAACCATGTCCTGCTCGTCCATGTACCCGTACTGGGCGATGCACCGGTACACGCCGGCGCGCGCCCCCTCCCTCGCCACGAGGAACCGCTCGCCGGCGAGCACCGTCCTCACCGGCAGCGTCCGGAACGTGACGAACAGGAGGAGCTCGCGGAGGGAGCCCGTGTTGGCGGCGTAGTGGCGGACGATGGGCGGGACGCCGTCCATGAGGTCGGTGCAGAAGAGGCACATCCCGGGGACGCGGGCGCTCCGGGACACGATGCCGGCGAACTCGCCGTCGCCGACGGCGTGGCGCGCCTCGTACTCGCGCTTCTTCTTGCGGCCGTACGTCCAGGAGAGCGTGACGGAGAGGAAGGCGACGGTGATGGCGAACGGCACCCACCCGCCCTGCGGCACCTTGGTCATCAGCGACGTCATGTACGTGCCCTCGATCGCGAGGTAGAAGACGAAGAAGCCGCCGGCGAGCGCGCCGTTCACCTCCCAGATCACCACCATCACCACCGTCATCAGCGTCGTCGTCAGCAGCATCACCCAGATCACTGCAACACCTGTCGTGCAAATTGAAAGCCCAAAACCCAATAATAAGTTCATTATTCTCCTAATCACACCAAATGTTCCATTTAGTTTTCACGTCTTGCAAATTACGTAATTATCCAAAATTTAATTTTTGTGTAATGCAATAGTAATTTCAAAAAAAAAGTTCAATTCTGCGATGTTTACAATAAGATTTGGTCAAAATTTACAAACTTTAATCAATAATATTTTCATAAATACTTAGTTCGAAAAGGAAAAAATGATGATTTCTCTGTCCCAAAATATAAACATTTTTAGCTATTAATCCGGATAATTGTTGTCTAGATTTATAGCTAAAAGTTATTACTTCCTCCATTTCATAATGTAAGACTTTCTAGCATTGTTCACATTTATGTCTAAATTCATTAGTATCCATATGAATGTGGGCAATGCTAGAAAGTCTTACATTGTGAAACGGATGAAGTATATTTTAGGATAAATGTAGTATGCGATATTGCAAGATTATTATTTTTTTATAAAAAAATCATGTGTTGAAATGCTTTTAAGTATTTGTAACCGAAGGGAGTAATTTATTTATTTACCGAAAGCGCGGCCGATCTCGGGCCCACCCTGGAATCCAACGGTGATGAGAACACACACGACCATCAAAACGTAGTTGATCTCCGGGCAGTAAACCTGTCCCTCGTACTTGTCGGAGGTGTGCTTCACCGTGGTTCTTGGGAAGCAGCCCAGGGCGATGGACTGCCTGATGATGGAGTAGCTTGCAGAGATGAGCGACTGGCTGGCAACAATGGCGGCCAAGGTGGAGACGACGAACATCGGCCAGAACAGCGGCGCCGGGACGCTGCTGTAGAACGCCGTGCTCAGGTCACCCGGGTTCTTGATCAGGTATGCCGCCTGGCCTGAGTACGCCAGGATCAGGGATGGGAACACCGCCGTTGAGAATGCCACCTATTTCATGAAATTAATTTGAAAGATCAGAAACAGAAACAACAAATTGTTGATACCTATTTCATGAAATTAATTTGAAAGATCAGAAACAGAAACAACAAATTGTTGATGCCTTTGGGTGTTATATGGTACAGTATCTTGATTGTAACGTGCCGTTGAGAATGCCACCTATTTCATGAAATTAATTTGAAAGATCAGAAACAGAAACAACAAGTTGTTGATGCCTTTGGGTGTTATATGGTACAGTATCTTGATTGTAACTTTCTAATGCTTGACGCTGTTAACTTTGAAAAAGTATCTTGATTGTAACGTTTCTAATGCTTGATGCTGTTAACTTTGAAAAATCCATCTTATATTAAAATTTTGTACCGATATGAAAAATATAAGTCGTGCTTAAGATAGCTTTAATGATAAAAAAATTGCCATAAAATAAATGATAATTACGTGTTTTTTTAGATAAGACGAATGATCAAACATGTGTTTAGAAGTTAACAGAGTCAAACATTAAACCATAGCAAGTAGGTTGGAGTTTGCAGGACCATTTTACCTGAATTGATGACTTGTTGAAGTGTCCCATATCAGCAAACATAGCTTCAGCACCTGAATTGTACGTGGTCACAACCATAAGTTCAGTCATAAATCTGCAATACTTAAAGAAAATAACCAAAAGATTATTTTCAAAAATATTTTCTTTTATTTTTTTTCAAGGAAGTAAACCTAAAACTAATTATCTGATCACTGTAAAAGTTAACAAAAATCTTCACCTGTTATGCAGAGAATAACCGCGCCGAGTTGCTCCCACCCAACCCGTTTGTTCTTCGCGAAGTAGTAATATATGTAGTGAGGCGAGACGGCTTTCAGAACAGGTGGGTAGTGCATCACAATGTTGTAAACACCGATCCCTGCAATCGAAGCAAACCACAGCAGCATGATTGGGGAGAAGGTGAAGCTGACCCTGCTGGTGCCGAATCGCTGGACGAGGAAAAGGAGCACCAGGATCACCGCGCTCAGCACCACGACGTGCTCTGAAAATCAAGGAAGAGATACAGCGACAGTTAACCAATTTGCCATGAAAGATGGCCAGGGAGAAATGAAGCCAACAGATTGATAGTACAGCATCGAGCTGAAAGGAGACAGATGAGTTTTTACTCTGCTTGATATGCGACGATCTTGACTGGATTCCCTGGACCGCCGAAAGAACTGGAGAAATCCAAAACAAAACACAACACAGGTTATCTGAACTGAATGAAAATTGTTCAATGTTCTTCAGAGAAAGTATGGCAGGCAACTACACGTCAGGCGTCTTATCTGGGATAAAAAAATTGGGCGCCCACCTCATGCTAACATCAGCAAGCATGTATGCATGCAAAACTACTTTAAACTACATTTTCTCTTAAATTATTTATCCAAATTATAATCTAATTGCATCATTAAATTCGTTGCAATTAAATCTTTAAAACAAGACCACACATGGATATATTCTAACGATTTTTTTTAGCTTATTATTAAATTATTTTTAAATGTTGCACACTGTTCCACAAAGTATATCGGAATTGTTTTACTAACTAGATCGAAAATGTTTCAATCATTTAAATTGGGCGTTGTTTCACCTTATATAAAAACAATGTTTCAACAAATAGCGAAAGAATGTTTCAGTTCGCTGCAATATTTGATCCATACATATTAAAATATTATAAATACACTAGGTGAAATATTTTTAGTGGAACAAAAAATGAAACGAATTCCCTTAATAGAGGGTTTCCAAAATATATAGGTGATTTGTTGCAATGGAGTATGTGGTGAAGATCCGTGGCAGGTGACAGGGACATGTGGTGGGTCCAGGGGAGGCACGTGCACGCGTGTGGGGTTTGGGGGAGCGACCGATTTTGCTAGCAGGAGGATTATCGGAAAGTATGCAGTTGTTCAGAGCTAAAAATAACTGGTTGATTGGAAACTTGTTTACCTGAGATGGCTGGAGTGAGGGCACCATCGCCGATGAGCATGCAGGTTCCGATCAGCACGATGATGGTGATCGCCAGTTGCGCCTTTGGGCTGTTCTCCAAGAACAGCTGCAGCCGTGACGGCCGGCTTCTCCTCTTGCTGTGGAACTTGAGATGGACATCGGACTCCAACCGTGTGAGCGGCACCGGTATGTTCCCCTTGAAATTCACGTGCTGACGCAGCAGCGAATACAGTGCAAATGTACCACCTTTTGACAAACAACATCGTCATGTCAAACGAATTATGTTAAAAAAAAAGAAAAAGACGGTCAAAAAGGAACTTGGTGTCAAATAGAGAATTGAACACAAACTATTTGGTTGAAACACACATGCCTCTGTCAAGATTGATATAGTGCAATGAAATTAATTGTTAAAGATGGTAATCAACAAGATCATCATCATCATCAGAGGTTCAGTAATGGTGATATATATATATATATATATATATATATATATATATATAGTTACAAACCTTCGCCATGGTCGTCGGCTTTGAGGACGATGAGGGCGTACTTGACGAGGCTCATGAGGGTGAGGGTCCAGATGATGAGGCTGAGGATGCCGAGGAAGTCGGTGGCGTCGGCGTCGGGTAGGACGACGGACGGGAACACGTACAGCGGCGACGTCCCGAGGTCGCCGTACACGATGCCCAGCGACTGGTACCCCAGCATCAGCGTCTGCCACACCGTGAACACCTTGCAGATGCACACAACCAACGAAATTCCATTGAATTCTGTTTAATTTCTTCATCTCCTTGTTTGAAGTAGATTGATCAAGCCAAGAACACATGTTATGTTAGTACCTGAGGCTGACGGTGCCGCGTCTTGTAGGCCTGGCCGAAGCTGAACGTCCGGCGCGGAGGCGCGTCGCCGTTGCCGCCGCCGTTCGCTTCGACGTCGTCGCCCTGCAGCTCGTGGCTCCAGTCGTCGCCGGGAGTGCTGAGCTCGAGGATGACGTCGTTGCCGGCGGCGGCGGCGGCGCCGTTGCCATTGCCTGGTGGCACCATGATGGAATCGATGCTACCGTACAAGCTCTCGAAGATTTCGAGAACGCGACGCGGCGGCGGCGCGCTCCGGCGAGAGGCGGAGGAGGAGGAGGAGGAGAAGAAGAAGGTGGTTAAGGACGCAGGCGAGAGTATATAGGATGGTTGATAGTATACTGTCCCTTAGCTGTACGTACGCGATGGTTTCGATTTGCATTGCTCGTGAAATTAACAGGTGGTATTCATTTTCGCGCTTAATTACAATTCTGTCTCTGTTTATCTTAGAGATAAAATCCTGTGTTTATTCTGTTTTTTTATACGAGATTGAGCTGGGATTCTTCTTTTTAGTTTGTGGCTGGACTAATTATAATACCTTTCTGCGACAAAAAAAGATTGATTCTAATACAAGAACGTAAAAGGAACAGGGACTAGCTAGCGTGTACCATCCAATGAAGTACAGTAATTACATAGCTGTAATGTAATAGATAAAAATTGCATTCGCTAAATGACAGCTCAATTTCCACTCTTCACAATTTATGTGACAATTGCTTAGCAGATTTGTTGGTTGTGTTCTTTGAGGGAGGTTGGGAAACCTGACTTCCCGGCATGCAACGGAACAATAAATTAACATATGATTAATTAATTATTAATTTTTTAAAATATATTAATGTGATATTTTAAAGCAAGTTTTTTTATAGAAAATTTAATAGAGAACTCAGTAGTTCGGGTAGCGTGCGTGTGGAAAATAAGAGAGGGAGAGGAAAAGTTGAAAAGTATAGTATAGAACTCAGCCAGGATGCTAGGTTGTTTCATCAAACCTATATTACTAACTAAAGAACCAATTTGAAGAAAGAAACATCATAAGTTAGAGCAAATAACTGAGAACAAGGGACAAAGGAAAAGAAACTTAATTTTCATCTCTTAAATCTATTGGTGAAACTATTCAACTCTTGAAACTTGACAAGACTCATCCTTTCATTCATTTGATATGTTTTTGACCAATGTAATAGTGTATAAGTCGCACTGTAAGACGGGACGACATATAATTGAGAGAAGAACTAAAAGAGGAAATTAGTAAATTACACGTCCACGGCCACCCCCATAGTACGCAATCTCCCAGATCCACCTTTTATAACATGTGTTTGGGGGGGGGGGCTCTAAACACTCGGGTGGATAGTCACTCATTTTTTATAAATTTATATGTAGTATATCACTCAACAAGTATGCATGTTCAAATTTAATTTCTACAAGTCATAACAAAAACAACAAATTTATTATTTTTGTTACAACTTTTAGAAGTCAAATTTAAACTTGCATGTCTGTGGAGTGATATATTATATATTAATCTATCTTGTTAGAATTTTTAAATATTTTTATAACCATTTAGTTGACATGAAAGAAACAAGTGAACATCCACTCGGGAGATAAGAATCCATTTCTGACATGTGGGTCTATAGTATCTTGAATCTACTACTTATGTGCTATGTGGATCAAATATCTTAGTCAATATAATCAACATAACAATTTCTATGTGGTTTTGGGAAACTAATTTTACATACATGTTTTGTTTAGAGAAGAAACTAATCAAGCCAACAAGTTGGAGATGAAAAACATATTTTATTTTTTCTCTGAGTAAAGGTTTTTAGATCAAGATAACTAATTTCGTATAACCACATGTTTTCTGATCGATCGTAGAAAAATACTTTAAACATATATAGTATACTATATAGGTTTTGCAAAGCCCAGCGCCCCACCTCTATTGAAAAACATCAAGTAGTAAAGTAGGTGTAGCTCGTGTAGTTAGTTTTCTTTTAAACCTGACAACCCAGATTCAAATCATGAACTAAACATCAAGTAATTTTTATCATCTTTTACACCACTAGTGAGCGTGCACGTGCAAGGGACGTTGATACATAGAATTAAAGAAAATACAGTTATTGTTGATCATTTACTTATACATTATTAAAGAATCATAGTAGGAACCAAGTAAAAATAACATTATTGTAAGCAATACATTGGTAATTCATGAAATAAACCTTAATTGTTATATATTCATATTATATATTTATTCTATATTAAACAGGGAACTTGCAGGTACACATCTTCACCCGCATCCACTCACCACTGGTTTGGGTTGGTCAGATTGTACATTTTTACCCAGCAAAGAATGATTGAGTTTCTTCATGAAAAGGATGTCTCACTGTGTCCTACCTGGGATGAACACACTTTCCATTGTAGATGATAATTTGAAAAATTGTATATTCTAGGCATAAAAATGCACACTTTGAGAGGAACTTTAGTGGAAGTGCCAGGTTTCAGGTCAACAAGCATTTTTAGGACCATCTAGGATATTGCCCCTTGGGGAACAAAAGTAACATACAGTAAGAGAATGTGCAAAGCAGAATTTACGGCTTTTATCAGCTGAAAACCAGCATAGCTAATAGTTGGCACTTAATTAATAAAGGTTGTTCTTTTTCTCACAGATTAGAAGACAAAAATAACGAATCTAGGAAAGCATTTCCCTCATTCTGATTTAAGCAGAAACTAAAGGCTACATCTTCACTCAGCGTGTGGTACTGAATAGAGCTCGGCTGACAATACCAGTTGCCTCAATGTAATGATCAACACAGCGAGATATGCAACTGCTCTCGCTACCGCTCAAGCTTGAGCCTGGCTTTGTCACACACTTGGCAAAGCACTTGCTCCCAACAGTCTGTAACAAAAACATAAGAGATGATTATGATCATGCTATGTGTTGAACAAAGAAGCAATGCCATGAATTGACATGTTTTATGTAAAACACGTTTCTCCGTTTTCCACATGTAATCTGTATTGCACAAATATAATATACCAACAGTGGTGATATCACTTGATGAGCGGGACTAATTAATTACCCACATGTCAAACTCAAACTTGATAGCAATGGTGCATCAACAGGAAGGTCAACTTTGCTGCTAACTTTGTGTACATAAATTGATACAGTTCAGCAATATATCTTGGTACTTAAAGTCTACAATTGAACTGTTAAATTTATACTTTTGGATCCCTAGTTTTCTTGAGTAATCCAAGAAGTCATCACCATATATCCGTATAGGGCAAGAAAAACAACAGAAATCAACAGATGAACAACCACATCCAATTGCATGATTCAATTGGAAACAATGCACACCAGTGTGATCAACTTGTATCAGTATGCAGAATACAATCAATGGATATAGTGAGCATGGAAGTCACATCATGTGCATATTGCTTCCAACTTAATCACGCAATTGGATGCACTTATGGAAGTCAAATTAGGCTTGTCTTGCAATATGCATGATGTAAAGGACCAAGTGAACCACATGTTTGACTTTTCAGACTTTATTGTCAGACAAAATAATTTTGACTGCTTGAGGGGTGGCGGTCGCACGAGAGGCGACGACGGCGGCGGGCTGACGCGTGATGGATTTTCTTTCTTTTTCGCTGTGAATGATCACTATTTTCAGTTTTCTTTATTTATGGACCATTGGGCTAAGTCTATGACCAAATGGCGTGAATGAGATGTAGAGCACAATGCAGTTGCGATCCGCAGAATTATAAGGCATGATCATCAGCTGATCTAACCAAATTTCCATCAAGGGCAAACCTAGCTAAAGTTAACTTATAAACCTCACACCCACATGCTTTGCAAATCAATTCGGTGTGCTATAGTGTATCCAAACATATATTGTATATTTCCAAAGTACCCATAGAACAGTACCAATCAAGCCAAATGACAAAATAAGCAGTGAAAAAAACTAATACTAAAACTAATTTACATAGCAAGGCCTCTCAGTTTTCAATCACAGGAAATGAAGAACAAGTTGTACATGCCTGTCTTAGTATTGCAAACTCCCTAATCATCTAATTTCACTGAAAGGTAGTTGGCATTGAAGTGGTATATGGCATAAAAGGCCCACCAGGATCATCATAGGGTGGCCTCCTGATATACCTTGTTTGCATCCCAACAGTATAGCAAGGTTAGGTGTAGAACATATGAATCTCTTTCTATAGGTAAATCCCCCAACGTTATTCTTTTCAGCTGCTTCAAATAAAACAGCTATAGCAGGCCTGTACTATGTGCAATTTTCGTAGATGATTTAGCTGATTTTAGAGTTATCCAGACAGTAAAATTCATGTTATCTAGCAGCTTCTCTGTCAATGGTGCACATATCCATATTAAGATAAGTATTGCTAAAAATGAAAGATGGTCATTTCTTGTGAGGATGTATATTGTACCTGCTTGGAACCGGGCTATGCAACCTTGGGTCTGTTCATCAATGCAGAAGTGAAAATCTTGCCCTTTAGTCAATATAAAATTATATTTAGGATTTTAGGATAATTAGATTGCTCCATAGTATGGAAAGAAAACAAAGATCCCTATTGGAATTCAGAAGATGTACTCCTATATTTACAATAACCAAAAATTAATACAAACAGTAAATCTCAGATGCAGCTTGTTGTACAATACATAATATAATATCATTAGGTTTCAATAATAAACCAGTATCAAAAAGCACATGGTTTCCAATTCGTTTCGAGCACAAGCAAATTAATTTCAGCCCACAACTCTCTAAGATATTCAGAAAATTGAAGGGAATAAAATAGATAATCACTGTCTAACTGCTTGAATCCGAAACAATACATAATATCATTAGGTTTCAATAATAAATGCAATCGAAAAGCACATGGTTTCCAATTCGTTTTGAGCACAAGCAAATTAATTTCAGCCCACCACTCTCTAAGATCTGATAAAATGTTTTGCTTAAAAAAAAATCTGATAAAATGTGGGCTATGGATCCATCTTTACAGTTCAGGCCTACAAGGGAAATCAGATACTATTTGAGTTTGTCTCAGGAGGAAATGTAAGCATAGATACAAATTAACATTCCTGATAACAAATCAAGACCAGTGTATATACTATGCTTAGATATGCAATCATCTTCAGTAGTATACCTTAATTTATTCTCGCTTTTGGTGTACTTCCATGTACAGTTACTTCAATTAATAGAATGATTAGGCAAATATACACCCCAAGTTGTTACTGCAGTATTAACACATGGTTTACTATTCCTAAACACCTAAGACCAGTACACCACATGAAAGTGTGCACCATGCATGCATGCTCAGACTTTTCTTTCTTGAAGCAATTAATGTTCAGAGTTAGTTAAATTAGTACTAATCAGTACAAGAAACCAAATACTTTCTACATCAAACTGATTGTGTATTTTCCTACTACATTTTTTTTGCCGGAATGACCGAAGGAGGTTATTCAATGTAATTAAGATAGGAAGAAAATGTTACAAGAAAAGTTTTACATCGACAGCTGGTTGTCGAGGAAGGATGTGCACCAGAGCACACGCCCCGAACCATGTGCCCCTGCTGCAATTATTGAACCAAAATAATCACAATATGCAGCAGCTATCCATATGGTCTTGAATTCCAAAGTGGCCATATCTCTGAATTGACACTTGCCAGTTTCTTTTTGCATCACTTTTCTTTCCATGGATGGCTACAGAACTCTTAGTTCAGGGGTGTGACAAGATGCATCCACACTGAATCACTGAAGAACACACATACATCCCCCACACATCATCAGAGATCTCCATGGCTCAGGAAAATGCAGACTGTTCAGGGGTAAGAGGCCAATGTCAGTGCAGTGTGGCCCCAAGACAACACACACAGAGCACAACAATGCAGAAAGAGGCAGTGAAAAGAACAATCAATGGCAATGGCATGCAGTGCATGACTTCAGAAAATTGAAGGGAATAAAATAGATAAGCACTGTCTAACTGCTTGAATCCGAATTATATTATCAGAAAATGTTTCTAGATTAACAGAAAATGTCATGAAGCCTTGTATGTTTCTAAATTTTCAGAAAATGTACTTCAAAAAAATATTGTGAGAAAATGATAATGTGGCAGATCTTCAAGCATATGGTACTGCTTTTTTTTGGCTGATTTGGGTCATAACAGAAAAAGAAGGTGCTCAACTCTTCCATAATATGCCTATCTTTCTTAATATCTGAGTCATGCAAAGATCAATTATGATGCTCTGTTGATTGGGACTGACTGATAGGAGTACAGATTATAATTTCAGAAACCTGGCAACTGAACTAATATTGAATTCTGTAGATTTTGGTTTTTAGGAGTTAGGGATTTCAAGTTGATTGTTGCGAGCAGCAGTTTTTAATGGATAATTAAAACCTCTTTGAATTGAGACTATTTGAGATAAAATTTCAATTGAGAATTATTAATTGATGATGCTTTTATGATGTTATGAGTTGGAGTAATATCAGGTCAACATGACCCTGACCTGTTACTCTGACGGTAGAAAAAACATTTTCTTGAGGATGCAGGTATCTATCAGAGGTTTAGAATTGCTATTATACGCCATGGGATCATATCAAGAATGCTTACTTATAATTGCAGGAAAACCAAGAAAATAAGGGGAAAATAATTAATTCTGCATGTCTGATGCTTCACAAATTCGATCACCGTAGCCGACGCGGGGTGCGGCAAAGGGGAGGGGCCAAGCAGCAAGGTCTTCCCCGATGATCGGCTGTGTGTGGCGGGGCGACTGATGAACAGAGAGGAGGAGATATTAGGGATGGGGGAGAGATTAAAGGGGAAAGGGGTGGGGGAGGAGGGATCTGTACCTTTGGAGGGGTAGCACAGTTGGTGTGCTAGCGACGACGACCGAGCTCGTTTTAGGCGTAGGGGGTGGCGATTTCCCCGGCGATAGGGCACCGCGGTTGAGGAAGAGGGGAGGAGACGGTGTGGAGGCGCGGCGGCGGAAGGAGGAGGAGGAGGAGGCGCGGCGGCGAAAGGTGGAGGAGGAGGCGTGGGCGGTCTGGGTGACGGTTTTTTTTTTAAGTAAATTTCACATAACTACATGTTTTATGGTTTAAGTTGCAGAAAACCACACATATTTTGACACTTGGCACTTAAGTACATATATTTTGGTAGTTTAGTTTCACAAAACCACACTATCGATAAATGGATTCACCCGTGAGATGACGTGGTCGTTCCTAGATGGAACGACCACGTCATCTCACGGGTGAATCCATTTATCGATAGTGTGGTTTTGTGAAACTAAACTACCAATTACCAGCCATCGCACGAAATTAATAGGATGCCACGTCTTCATCCTAGATGGAATGACCACGTCATCTCACGGGTGAATCCATTTATCGATAGTGTGGTTTTGTGAAACTAAACTACCAAAATATATGTACTTAAGTGCCAAGTGTCAAAGTGTGTGTGGTTTTCTGCAACTTGGACTACAAAACATGTAGTTTTGTGAAATTTACTCTTTTTTTTGGCGATTTGGCGAAGAGAATGATTTGGTTTTGCGCTAATCGCGGTGTTAATCCGGCACTAATCGCAATCGCAGTGTTATTAATCCCACTAAACAATTGGTGCTTTTTATATTAGAATAGATAGATATAGATGTTGTCGAAAATAGAAGATATACCGGTCCGAATGTGGTAGACTTCATCATTCTGTTATGATCATCTAAATTTTGTACTCCATCATGTTTGTAAGTAATTTTCATCTTCTTTTACACCATATGGTAAAAAATAACCGTGAATGAAACCGACTAATTTAACAAACTAATAGCATCCATCATTTAAAAAAAAACATTCTAACATGTAAAATAGGGTACACACTCTATCTCTGTCTAAAAAACAATCATGCCAATGAATCTGGATATAGTGTATGTCCAAATTCATCTCTAGGATTGGATTCTTTTTTAGACAAAGGGAGTACATTTCTAACAAAGGGTGTTTTTACTTCACGCAAAATTTGAAAGTTTGGTTGAAATTGAAACGATGTGATGGAAAAGTTAGAAATTTATGTGTGTAGGAAAATTTTGATGTAATGAAAAAGTTGAAAGTTTGAAGAAAAATTTTGGAAGTAAACTCGTATTATTCCAGATTTAAATCCGAATTACACATCACATAACTTGAACCACAAGAACAGCAATTGCAGTTATTACTGTGTCCAACGCCTTTGCTCCCTTCTTCTTTCTTCTTCTTCCACCTCCGATCGATCGGCTCGTCTCTCCCCTTCCCCACCTCCATGCCACCGACACGCGCCTCAAGCTAGAACCCTAGCCCCGATCCCCGATGGCCGCGCCGCCCGTCTCGGGGGATGGGGCGGCGGCGGCGGCCCCCGTGGTGGCCCTGGGCGCCGCGGGGGCGGTGGGGGGGCCGAGGCCGTACGAGGTGGCCGTCGCGGCGGCGGAGCTCCGGCCCGTGGACTGCAACCTCGCGGCGCTGTGCGACCACGTGCAGGCGGAGGGGTTCGGGTCCGGGGCGTTCTCCGACGTCGTCGTCGAGGCCATGGGCGCCACCTACCGCCTCCATCGCCTCATCATCTCCCGCAGCGCCTACTTCAGGTGAGGGTTGTGAGATTGTCGAATTCGGAGGCCCCCCTGGCTCGCGTTCGCGTGCCCTTTGATTCGGTGGGGGGATCGGGGTTACTGCTTTCGTTATGAGTATCTTAGGATTTCATTTCCATGGAAAAGTGAAATGTATGTTTCAGTGTCATTTGGGGGTCGTTTCTATTCCTTTGAGGTGGGATTTTAGCTGTTTTCATGTGATCCCCTATTTGAAATGCTTGGTAGAAGAATCTGAGCAAAAATGTGTGTTGGGCGACCTAATTTTGAGTTTTGCTGTTAATTAGAGCAAGTTCGCGTAGCTTGAGAAGTGAAAACGTAATTATTGATTTCACACTCAGTACATAAACTAAAATGTAGATTTCCCACTTTAGTGAAACTTGTTAGGTTCATGATTCATTCTTATTTTCCTTGATGGATTTTGCCCCCCCCCCCCCCCCCAAAAATAATAATAATAATAATCGGGGACTAAGCAGGTTTCCTTCTTTCTTCTGTATGATGAGATTTGGCTAGATGTTATCTTGTTGTATACTTATTTTCCTTGTATAATATGCAGTTGAGCTTATGGAATAGTTTCCATGAAACACATTACTTATTCGATAACATAATCTACATAGAAATCCAATGAATAATGTTGAATAGTTAAAATTCCTCTCAGTGTCTTCATCTCATATATGTGCTTCGTTGTTCATCCTACATAGCAGTGAACCTCCTTCTGCAGTCAAACCCCATATCTCCGTACTATAATCTTTGGTACAAGTGACATAAAAAGTGCTAAAAATGACTGGCAGGAATATGCTACATGGTCCTTGGAGGGAGGCTGGAGCTCCCACAGTGGTGTTGCATATAGATGATCCAAACATTGACTCAGAAGCAATTGCAATCGCGTTAGCATATCTTTACGGGCAACCCCCAAAGCTTAATGATAACAATGCGTTCCGAGTACTTGCAGCTGCATCATTTTTGGATCTTCAGGTCTACTTCATTCGAAAGCTTTCTCTTCTGCCTCACTTCTTTGCTGTTGTTGTGAACTTACAGTTGGTCAATTGCAGGATTTATGTACAATATGTACCGACTTTATTATTTCTGAGCTTTGGACATCAAACTTTTTGCAATATCAGGTTAGTCCGTTACTGCTGTGTGTCTTATCTTCACAACTACTCGATTATTTTCTCTGTAACTTTTTTTATTAATGAAGTAATATAAGTTTATATCCTTGATAAGCATTCATCTTTATTTTGTATTATTTTCTTTATTATTCTTTACAGCTGTTTGCGGAGAGTCAAGACTATGGTAGTCATGGGGAACGTGTCAGAAATGCCTGCTGGGGTTATCTTTGCCAAAGTGCCACATTGGAACTACGAGAGGTAATGAACATTCACAGTGAGTTTGTTGGCTAAAATGAGTAGATTCTCAAATATATTTTTATTTTAGGAATATCCATGTAACTGCCTTTTTTTCATTATGGCCTTCACCAGTAATTATATAGTAGGTTTATTGTGATTTCCATCTAAATTTTGGTATAGTACTAATAGGCTGGTTTTATGTTAGATATTCTCACCATGAGATATCCTAATTAAAATTTTTGTGACTTAAACTTGCAATCCACACATAAGTGCATCACATGATTTGTTTTGGTATTAAAATTTTTAACACAAAGACATGTTCTACTGAACAGGGTGGTAGTTGAAATGCAAATGTGTGTGTGTGTGTGACGGGAGGGGGGGGGTATAAGAACTGCTTAGAAAGCTTTTCTAAGATTATCAGTTTCTTGCTCTGTTGCAACATGAATGATGACACATGGCTTTTCGGATAATTTTGATATGTACTGCAATGTTTATTAATATTTCTATTTTTTTTGTTTGTAATATTGATTTTCAACTTTTATTTATTTTTATTGTTAGGTGCTCCCAAAACTTTCTTCACAAACTTTGCATGCGCTCCTTACATCTGACGAATTATGGGTACCTAATGAGGAGAAACGGTATGTTATCCATAAACTTGTCTGCTGAATGATATTGGAATTTAGAACACAGTTATGACAACAACTTATTTTGCCACTTGAAGGTTTGAACTAGCATTATATGCGTTGCTTGCAAAGGTCACTCTGTCTGATGTAGAAGTTAGTGGAAATGAAAATTTGAACCTTACGTCAAGCTCTGCGAATTCTGATCATTCCATGAGGAAGGGAAAGAGTCCAATGAATGAAGCTGGTGAGGAGCAGCTTATGGGGTCTGAATTGCAGAACTTAAAATTACATGACAACACAGAGACTATAAGTGCCCATAACACTAGTGATATTCCAGATATGGTAATCCCGCAGGATAGCACAGCATACTCCATTGAGCAAGTAATAACATGCTCAAATTTCTGCTTCTGTTCAATATGTTGTGTTTTCCTTCTATTGTCAAATAATGAAATAAATTACTTCACTAAATTTGTATATTTGCTCTGAAATTTAGAATGCTGAGGCTTCCAGGAGGAAGGTAAATGATTTTTCCACAGGAGGACCATCTGGGGAAAGCACTTCTTATCAATTTAACGAGGATATCTGGCTTTCTAGTGACCAAACAAGGAACTACCTCTCAAGAACCTCTTCCAGTAATGGGTTAGTTCCAACTGAGTGGGGAAAGCCCAACGCACCACTTTGGGGTGGTAGGGTTGTTGGTCGGCGGCAAGTTAGATGTGTTAGGGGAAGTTCTTCTCTTTCTGCTGATGAATACAATGCTTTTATGAATATATTTGAAAGGGGTTCTCTTCTCTACTGTAATATGTCATTTGATGCATTGTTAAGTGTTCGAAAGCAACTTGAAGAGTTTGGGTTTCCTTGCAAAGCTGTAAATGATGGTCTTTGGCTACAGGTTATCAATCTACTCCCTGACTTTAGTATTTTTTCTGTTCCTACTAAGACCCTCTCTTACACTTTGGTTGTTTGTTAATGCAGATGCTTCTGTGTCACAGAGTACAAGCAATAGTTGCTGATACTTGCACAAATTGTTGCCTTACTGGTAATTCATGTGCTTGTAAACAAGCACATGTGAGTTCACATCATCACTACAGGCAAGAGCATGATCGGAGCAGTGCTTCCGGTACTGTAGGTAATATCTACCTCACAGATGCCCATGGTGAAGGAAATGCTGTTTTTGGGCCTGTCCGTGTCAATGTCAGAGGAGCAGTTGATGGACTTGCTGGTATTGGGAGAGGAAATTCTAATGTTCCTGGTGCAGCTTGGGCTCCCACACGTTACGTCTTCTCTCGTGTTCCTTATGGACTTGGTTCAAGAAATGGTCAACAACCATTCGCAAATGATGAATCAGAACCTAGAGTCGACTACAATGGTGATATTTCAGGAGATGGTCTGACTGCATTGGTTAATCTTAGCCAAGAAAGCAGTGCTTCTCATCATCAGACAGAAAGTATATTTGAGACAGGCATTCAAGTTAGATATTCTGGTGCTGCTTCTGTTTCAACCCCAGGTGGTTCCTCTCTCCAGATGCAAGAGTCAAAAGAGCATGAACTTGGATCCAACTTGGAAACTACAGAGAACACAACTATCTCGTTGGACATGAAAACACCACTTAGTCACTTCCCACCTTTCCGCTTTGGGTAAGATTTCATGCTTATTCTGCTTCTGCTAGCATCTCTTTGGACAGAGTCCCAGTCATCCAGATTAAACCTGACCAGTTCTGTGTGGTGTTTATTTCAATGTGAAATCATGTGTTCCAACTTCCAAATTGTTTGATTTATTTTTTTTAACATACAGTCCATCTGGGTTCTTGTTAGTTGTTGCTACTTTTTACAAACGGAAGGGAAAAAGAAAACCAAAACAGTCTGAATGTGCAGTTTACCTCTTTTTCTCTGCATACCTTATGAACCTGATACTGGATGTGCATTTTTACCTTCCTGTTTTGACTAAGCATTGAACACTTCTACTGAATACAGAGTTGAGTTTGAAGATGTGCACAGGCTCGCAGATAGTCAGGTGAAGCATTCGACTGAAGTATTTTATGCAGGCTCTCTTTGGAAGGTTAGCAACTTACTGTCATGTATTCATCTACGCTTCTTATGGCCTAAAGCTAGTTAGGTAATGGATGAGAGCATTTTGCAGGTAAGTGTCCAGGCATTCAACGACGAGGATCCTCATGGACGTCGCACCCTTGGTAAATAGTATACCTGTTCTGAATTCCTGTTGCCTTTCACCTTTGTTGGTTGCTCAAAATCATTTAACGATTATAATGCAGGACTCTTTCTGCACCGACGCAAGGCTGAGCCTTTAGACCCATTGAGGAAGGTGAGTGATTTAATGAATTCATATCTTATAGTGCGAAATTGGGAACTGATCAACTCTTTATCAGGCCAACATGTATGTAGACCACCGGGAAAAGGTCACTGCTCGGTATCAGGTATAGTCTGCTCCATTTCGCTTCACATAATGTTGGATTGTTGATGATACTGTATATTGTTTAATTTGCCATTTTTCTTCTGTTGCTCATAGCTTATCTGTCCATCGAAGAGAGAGGTCATGATTTTCGGAAGCCTAAAGCAGGCTGGCACACTCCTACCCAAAGCTCCAAAAGGGTGGGGTTGGCGCACTGCCATATTGTTCGACGAACTTGGCGATCTTCTCCAGGGTGGATCCCTGAGAATTGCTGCAGTAGTCCAGCTTGTCTAAGCCAAATTGCCCTTGTATATCTAGAAACAATAGTAGTGTTAGCTTATTGCAAATGGAAAAAAGAAGGCACTAAATGGCACTTGCAAAGTATGGTAATGTCACTGTAATGCAATGGTTCTATTGTATTTATTCCCAAACGTGACGCCGTCATGCTTGTGTGTGTAATAGGAACTAATATATAGCCAAGTCATGCATTCGATATCATAGGACCCTAGGTGGGTTCTTGTGGTTAGTTTTTTTTTAATTATTTTTTTACGCTCCCGCTACATTATATGTGTTGTAGCAACGCATACATGTTGAAAACAAATATATTGCTGGTAATTTGCATTATAAATAGACATAAATGCAGAGTTATTTAAATGTTAAAAATCCAAGAAATATATGACTTTGCTTTAATAAAAGCCATATATCTCCAAGAATTCAACTCCAAGATAATCACATCCATATTTTTTTAGGTGTGGGTATGTGGTTGGAAAATACAGTAACATGTTTTTGTTTTAAAAGAGGGTAGTAGGGGTGGCAATGAATTTGCTATCCCACCTACTATCATTGTTAATTTGCAAATTATCCCTTAAACTTATTGATATTAAAAAAAAACTCTAAATGGCTATCTACATACTACCTTCGTTTTTTAATAGATGACATTGTTGACTTATTCTTACATGTTTGCCCATTCATCTTATTCAAAAAATTTACGTAATTATAATTTATTTTGTTATGAGTTGTTTTACCACTCATAGTACTTTAAGTGTGATTTATATTTTATACATTTGCATAAAATTTTTGAATAAGACCAATGGTCAAACATGTAAGAAAAATTCAACGACGTTATCTATTAAAGGAGTATAAAATCAAATTAAGGTTAAAATTCCCTATAGAGTATAGAAAAAAAGATGGGTAACACATTTCATGGTAAGTATATTTTTATTTATTTTAACTAATATTATAATATATTTTCTTTAATCCGTAGCAAAACACGGGCATAGAACTAGTATCTCCAAGAATTTAACTCCAAGATAGGCACATCCATGTTTTTTTAGGGTGTGGGTATTAGTTGGAAAATACAATAAATGGGTTTTAGAGTGTACAGATATGGTGTTGAAAGTATCCAATAAATGTTTTGCTATACATTGGAGTTCTTAAAGGCTATACACCCTACGAGAATCCACATCAAGGTATGCACAATTGCACATCCATCTTTTGTATTAAATGTGCAAAAAAGATTTGTATTAAAGATGCACATCCATCTTTTGTATTAAACATGCACATCCATTTTACATATTAAATTTGCACATACATCTTCTGTATTAATGCCAAGTAATCACATTAACTACATGCAAGTTTCAGGATGCATATATCATCCCCCTGTTCATGCAATCCCTTCTCAATTCTCATCAAGTTCTTCCATTCAGTTCCCTCAACCCAAAAAAAAAAATAAGTTCTTCCATTCAGATTACTTGATCCCCAGCCATGTCGACGGCCGGGAGGAAGATGACCACCATGCTTGCCATTGCCTTACTCATGGCCATCCTCTTCGCCTCACTCTCCGGTAATTAAGAATTTGCAGCGATTTGACATGGTTAATCAGTTGAATAATAATCCTCTTGCATTGCATTTGTATTTTACCTCGTTGATCGATTTTTACCAGGCACAGAAGCTATCATCTGCAAAGCAAGGAGCAAGATGTACCGCGGGAAGTGCAGGGGCAACAGAAACTGCGCCATGATCTGCGTCCACGAGGAGTACACCGGCGGCTACTGCTCCAAGGGCGTCTTCTCCAAGTGCATGTGCACCAAGCGGTGTGGCGGCGGCGGCGGTGGCGGCGGAGGAGGAGGAGGCGGCGGCGGCGATGAGCCGCCGTTGCGTGAGGCCCGTGTCCACCGCTCGTCGCCGCCGTTGGAGCCCAAGTGATTGTTTGGTTTGAGATAGAGAAAAGGAAAAAAGAAAAGGCATTTTACTCATTTTCGTTGTGTAAAGATGGAAGGCGCTGGGTTATGAACTCAATCGAATAAAATGCCTTCATTTTTTTTATGGAAAATGGACTGTTTAATCTCCCGTTGTTCTTGATAAGAATCTTTTCACTTGGCTACAAATTTATTTATAGGAAATTCTGGAGTGTGAATTGACTGAAATTAATTCGTGCAACCAAACCAAACAAACAAATTTGTATCTATCTACCTATCTATATCTATCTATATATCTATCTTTATCTACTATCTATCTATATATATCTAGATAAATAGCTAGATAGTTCGAAAATAAATCATCACATTTGCTCTAGAGGTAAATTATCATATTAACCGGAGCAACAAATAAAATTTATATTGTGAAATTACGGTGGAACTAAATTATAACGATGTAGATTGATAAATATAGCATAGAGCGAAAGACTTGTATATTAAATTCAATAGTATATACTCCGTACTGTATACACGATATAATTGAATATATAAAATATGAGCTAAAATTTATATATCAAATCTAATTCAATTTGTCTATGAAAAATTATGCGGGTAGTTTACCAAATAATAAAAATTATAAGCCTCACAGTCGTGGCAGTAGAGTGTAACTTGAGAAGAGACAGCCTACGGCCCACAGCCCAAATACAGTAAGTAGACGGGGCCCATTTCAACTGGCACTACTAAAATATTGGTAGGGTAAAATTATTTGGCTACTATTTGGATTGCTACCAATATAAAGTCAAATTCTTATAGTATAGTGAAGAAACTTCTAGAAAATGACCAAATAGTATAAGGGCACTACCAAAATATTTGGCTTCAATCCAAAATAACACAATTACTATTCAATTTGCCAAAAAAAATTGGTAGGGTATGTTTTTGGTATCAAACCAAAACGGCCCTAAATTAACCAGATTCAGGACCACCACGCATCTGCCCATCCATCATCAAACAGTTCGTGAGAATCTACAGGAGTAAATCCCAAAAACTTTTTACCGCATCATATCTACCCTTTTTACAAGATCGGAGAATGTACTACCTGACCATTTCAAGCAGTGGATCGAGAGAGGATATGCATGCATGGATCGTTGTAGCTAGCTAGCTATGAGCATTTGCACAAAATGGATCAGGATTACCAATGCCAATTACAGGAGAAAAAGAATTCAGTATGGATCAAGAAAACTTGCTCCGATTTCAGCTCAACCTAACAAATTATCTCAACTCTCAGATAGTACATGTATAAACGAAGAAGAGGAGAAGAAGAAGAAAATGTTTGCAAGAAACTGAACAATCACTGATGCCGCCGCCGCCAATGGCGCCATGAGCCGGCCGCCGGCGACGAGGTGGCTAAGCTAGCCTCTGCACTGGGTGATGGCGGAGCAGCCGCGGGTGTAGGGGTTGGCCTGGCCGCCGGGACGGCAGTTGTAGTAGGACGCGCCGCGGTACGAGCACGGCACGGCGTTGCGCCGCATCGCGTCGTAGCTGATGTACCCGCCGCCCTGCAGCCTCCTCCTCGCCGCCGCCGCCACCGCCACCGCCTCCTCGCCGCCGCCGCCGGCCACGCACTCCTCCCCCGGCTCGCCCACGCAGTACGGCGCCACCTCCACGGCCTGCGCGGTGGCGGCCGCGACGACGAGGAGGAGGAGCACGGCGGCGGCGGCGAGCGCCGCGCGGCGCGGCGGCGGCATCGTCTCGCGGTGGTATGTTGTACTATCGCCTTCTTCGCTTCTGCTACTGCTTTGCGAGTTGTGTGTCGTGTGAGGTGGGTTGGTTTGGTTAAGATCTCGAGATGGTTTGATTAAAATTTAAGAAAATGTCAAGGCAAGATTCGTTTTAAAAAAATTCTGTGGAGTGAGGCGGTGGAGACTGGGGTAGTAACTGTAGTGTTTGAAATTTGGGGAGAGATTACAAACGTGGAACATCACTTGGGAGTAAATAATTCCTTTTCATCGTTTCTATTTCAGCCTAAACTAATTTCAAATTTTAGTGGTTATCAGTAAAACTTTCAGCTTGAATTTTTTTTTAAAAAAAAACACAACACAAAATATGCTAATATTTACGCGCGCACAACCGGAACGCACAGTTTTAACTTGAAAAAGCATATGTAGATTGTAATATAAGAATTTCTGTATGTTGTTTTTTACTTCGATTTTTCAAGATTCCATTAGCTCATTTTTCTATAGGAAAAACATCAGGATACGGTAATGTTCATTGTATTCCTGACACGAGGCACCTAATGTCGCTCTAATTTTCTTCATAAGACGATGACCACGAGATCCATACACTGTTAGCTGTCCAATTGGAACATGCCAAATCTAACCCAAAAGAAAAACTTTGTCACAAGTACCTCATTACAGTATTGACTTTGCTGGCCTAATACCTCGATAAAAGAAGCCATAGAGCCTAATGATGAGGCACACTTACAGAGTATCAGTTGACTTACTAGCTGAAATAGTCGTGCTTAATTAGCTAGCGAGATTAACTCCATTCCTGTCTTGCTAGAGGCAAATTCAGACATTGGCCATTAGGAATATACCGCTATATATAGCTAGTTGCATGAGTTAGTTTGTTAATTTAATCCAATTGCTGGATGCAGCTAGCGATGGTTTTCTGAACTTTTGATCAGAATTAACATGCCAAAGCCTGCTCCGTGGCCATAACAAATCCGCATGTTAATCTTTTGTGTCGGCGTTTTGCGTCGTTGCAGCAGCACATGGATTAGCCTCCGGATCACGTGAGAATCGACCGTATTAATCTTACCTGCATCTTAAGTAGTACTGTACTCGTGTCAGTTGTGTGTGTGCCGCACTGCCGCATCCAGACGAAGAACAAGTTGGGTCGCTAGCTAGTCTTGTTCGCATCTGAACATCTGATCCGATCAGAGAGCTAGCTACATGCTGGAACTGAGACTGCAGCAACAGTAGTGGCCACGATATGTAAATTGGCATTATTATTCAAGTGGCGGTATGGACATGCATGCCTGCTCTGTTTGGTCCTATATGCAAATTGCAATCCTGTTTGCTTAGGGGTGTGTTTAGTTCACACCAAAATTAAAAGTTTGGTCGAAATTGGAACGACGCGACGGAAAAGTTGTAAGTTTATATATGTAGGAAAGTTTTGATGTGATGAAAAATTTGAAAGTTTGAAGAAAAATTTTGGAACTAAACTCGGTCTAGAAGTTAATTTTTTGCCGTATCAAAATTTTGGTAGTTTTAAAACATTGGCAAATAGTGCCAAATTTGATGTTATAGAATTTTATTAGTGTGAACAAAAAGTAGTAAAACGGATCGCACATACATGTGATACTATTGAAGTTGCCAAAAAAACGATTAGGCAAAAATGGCTTCAATCCAAAAATGCCTGGCAATGCAATAAGTGCAGTGACCTCAAGTTTGCTTTGAAATTGTATGACTTGAGCTCTTGAAGTGACCAGTATACTATATTACTATATATACTCAGTATATCTTAGAGACAGAAGTGCTAAAAATTATGAGCGGAGGCACGCTGAGATTGGCAGATGTGTACACATGATATACTGGACCATCCAAACAGCGAAAATTTGAAAACAGAGTAAAATTTTCGAAAACAAATCAACCTGACTGGATCACGGTGAGTCCGTGACGAACTTTTAACTTTTGTGTACGTGCTCCGAAATAAAGAAACGCAGTAGAATTAATTTAGGGATTTAGTTAAGGCATCGCCCTCAAAGGATGCCTGCAAAGAAGCCCATCCCGTTTAGCCGCTCAATATCTGAAATGAAGAAGTTCACAAAGAAATTTGGCCTGCAAATCCTGACTCCAATTCCGGCCCATCACGCAAGTAGCTAGGGGATGGCCCGATGGGATTCACGTTGCAGCCCAGACGCACCCGTCCCAGCCCAACACTCCACGCAAGGAAAAAGTACACCCAAGGTCCCTCAACTTGTCATCGAATTACAAAATCGTCCCCCAACTGCAAACATCTCTCAACTTACAAAACCGTTCATTTTAGCTCCTTTGTTGGTTTTCACCTCGGTTTTTTCTGATGTGGCAGCTGAGTCAGCGTGGGACCCACGTGGGCCCCACCTGTCAGACTGTCCACGTTAGCACCTTCTTTCTTACCCCTCTTCTCTCCCTTCCTCCTCTCTCTCACTTCTGTGTGCAGGCTAGCAGCTGGCCGAAGGGTGGGGAGAAGACCGCAGGGGCAATGCGGGAGAGGAGGAGGGCGTCGGTGGCCAGCGGCGGGCGGCGACGCGGCAGCAGGCCACCGCGCCGGGTGGGGAGGAGGCGGGAGAGGAGGAGGGCGTCGGTGGCCAGCGGCGGGCGGTGACGCGGCAGCAGGCCACCGCGCCGGGTGGGGAGGAGGCCTGCTGCCGGTAAGCTCCGAGCTCACGCAATCTCTTCAAGCTTTCGTTCGAATTGATCGTGTCCAGCGGCGCCGCGCCGTGGCGTGGTGTGCAGCTGGGCGTGGTCACCGCGGCGAACGAGCTGGAGGACGCGGCGGGGCTGAGGGCGCGGCTGCGGCGGATGTGGTGGGACGCCGGCGTCGACGGCGTCATGGCGGACGTGTGGTGGGGCATCGTCGAGGGCACCGGGCCGGCGCGGTACGAGTGGCGCGCGTACAGGGAGCCATCCCGCTGCCGCGCTGAGTCCGCGACGTCGGCGACGATGACCCCGACGTGTGCTACACGAGCCCCGGTGGCGCGACGAACCAGGAGTACCTCACCATCGGCGTTGACGACCGGCTTCTGTTCCATGGCAGAACTCCCATCCAGGTACACTGATTTCATAATTTGTGACATACTGACATTGAGATTGCAAATTTACATATCACAACCATGATCAAAATTAGGATAATCTAACGACTAGATCGATTGTTTATCTTTGACACTAGTTGTATGCCGATTTCATGAAGAGCTTCAGAGAGAACATGGCCGATTTCTTGGACTCTGGCGGTCTGGCCTGATTGTGGACATAGAGATTGGGCTTGGCCCCTGCAGGTGAGCTGAGATACCCATCCTACCCGGAGAGCCAAGGCTGGAATTCCCCGGCATCGGACAAATACCTCGAGGACGACTTGAGAGCGGCAGCGACAGAACCGGGCACCCGGAGTGGGAGCTGCTACCGCCGCCAGAGAGTACAACGACACGACGGAGGACACGTTTTTCTTCACCGCGTAAAGGGAGCAAGATGGCGACGCGGCGGCCGCACCAAGTCCGCCGCCCTTCTCCCCGGTGGGCGCCAGCGGAAGAGGAGGGAGCAGCGCGCGGCGGCGTCGGCGGGAGAGGAGGGAGTGGCGCCACCACTTTCACCAGCGCCCACAGCGACAGCTTGCCGGCGTCGCTCGCCGCGGCGACGACGACGACCGTGGATGCCACGGCGGCCGCCAAGCGGAGAAGGAGGAGGAGACCACGGCGGTCGGCCGCGCCAGGTTCCGCCGAGTGGAATCCGCACGCGGGCGGGAGCTCGAAGCCGCCCCCCGCCGCGGAGGAGGAGGAGGAGGAGACCATGACGGTCGGCCGGGCCGATTGCCGCCGAGTGGCCGCCGCACGCGGGCGGGAGCTCAAAGCCTCCCCCCACCGCTAACGACGCGTCCGACGACTCGCCCTCCACCTTCTGCTCCTGCGGCGCGGGGGCCTTCACGGACGCCATGGCGGAGGCGGCGGCATCGTGGTCGGGGAAGCGTGGGTGCCGCGACTGGGGGTGGAGGCAACGACGAAGCCGAACTAGGCCGTGGGGCGCCGCCGGCCTCGACGGGGTTCTCACGGCGGCTGCATCGCTCCCCCTGCCTCGTCCCCTTCAGCCGCCGCCGCTGACACTACCTTGCTCCCCCCGCGGCCGCCAAGCAACGCTGTGCCACGGCGGCGGAAACGAGGATGCTGACGGCGGCGTTGCCTTCGCCGGCGCGACGCCGGCTGCCGGACCTCCTCCTCCCCCCTCCCCCCGGCGGCCTCCTCCCAACAGCGCCGCCCGTCGCCGGCTAAGAAAAGTGAGAGAGAGAAAGGGAGAAGAGGGGAAATAAGAGGGATCAGATGAGGTGGCACCCTGACATGTGGGGCCCACGTGGGTCCCACGCTGACTCAGCCGCCGCGTATCCCGTATATCTGGTTTTGTGGTTCGAGGATGATTTTGTATCTCGCTGACAAGTTGAGGGACCTTCGGTGTACTTTTTCCCTCCACGCAATCGCGACCCGGCCCATTCGGAACGGACCTGGGAATCCCATTCCGGCCCAACACGGACGCGGATGGGATTCACGTTCCAGCCCACGCGCGTCTCGGTCCAATGGGCCATCCCGGCAATCCCGCTGAGGCCCAACTCAGCTTGGGCTTTTGCGGTTTCCTCGCGAGGCAGGGCGGCGCGGCCGGTCAGCGTTTGGACGCGGCGGCGCGCCTCGCCGTCGCCCGCCCCGCCCGCCCGCCGCCGTCTCGCTCGCCTTCCTCTCCACTCCGCCGCCCCGGCCTCAATACCCTAAACCCTCGCCGCCGACTTCCCGTCGTATGATCACGCACCTTCCTCTCGACCCCACGAACCCCAAAATCAAACCCCATCCTACTCGCCGCCGCCGCTCTCCGCTGCAGTCGAGTCGCTCGGAAACCGAGAGAATGGCCGGTGTCCGTCTCGTCGACGACCACTTGACGTGCGTCCTCTCCTGTGGCTGCGCGCGGCGAACCCTCGTCTCGAGATGGAAGGGGTTCAGAAAACCCCAATCCGTTTCGTTTAAACAAGTAATTCGTCATGGATCCTAGGTATTACAAATCCTGCATCCCTGTGCATAAGAATTTTTTCGATTTTCTTACCGTCCAAGAGAAGTGTTCATGATTCAGATTATGCGCAGCTATCAAGGATGTTGATTCTAGTTGCTGTGAGGCGAGGAGGTCAGGAAGAAGCATTTTTACCAGCATAACATTTGTAAGTATTCTGCGTCGCTGCATACTCCAGTATGACTGAATGTTCAGACTATCTCTGGATGAGCTCGTGTAAATTTTACTTTCATTGCACAGGTAGATAGATAGTTAGGATATTTTGTCACTGTACAACTCGATAAACGAGACCACCTAGGAGTTGCAGAGCAGCATGGCTTTGATGCTTAACTAGTAATCTCTGCTGCCTGAATGGCAGGCAGGCTGGGACAGCAACTTTCATGTCAACCTTTGCTTTGGTTTAACGAAAAGAAACTGTTAACAAGACGTAGCACACTTGCTTTCACTTTCATGGGGATTGTGAAATCGAAATGTGAACCGCACATATACCATCGGTATCAGTTAACTAATTGCGAAGCTTGGAGTCCATAATTGGTGTTCCTCGGGGGCTAATCCCATACCTATCCGTTTATGTGGCCAAGCAAAAGTCATCTCCATTCTCCAAAACCCTTACTACCATCTTCTGAAACTCTGAACCCTGAATTCCTAGGTCTGGAGCCTTGTTGCTTACTAGCATATATACTGACATTTCAGCTTCTGAGTTCACTTCTTGTGGGTCTCTCTCTTTGATACTTCATGTATCTTGAGTTGTTGAACACGGTTCTAAAAAAATGAGTTCTTCACCACGATATCTGCTCATCGACCTCTTCAGCTGTTATCTCTCACTGCAGCTGCATCCTGGTCCCTGCATGTATGGCATGCATAACAGTATGCAGAATGAATCTTGATCTGCATTTGATCAGCGGCTGCTCTCCTTAGTTCTGGTGCAGTTACTGTTATTAAAGTGTTAAAGTTTGGTCAGAGCCAATGCACCATACCCGAGCAGATTCTGTTGTCTTCAGAGCACAACTAGAGCTTTACCGTGTCAGGTTTAGCATATCCTACTAGACCAAAAGGTGAATGCAGAGAGGATTAGCTCCCCTTCCTGTGGCAACGTATATATAAGGTTAGTTGCTCAGTTAGGGGAACACTAGATTTTAAAATAAAGCAAAATAGAAAAAAGAAAAGTATAGTTCTGATCCTTCTATTCTTTTGAGCACTTTGAATGAGCTTTTACATTTGAATTGGTTCTTTTCCTATTGAATTTTTTTGAAAAAGTCATACTTATGAAACCATGCATATTTTCTTGGTAACTCTGTGTCATTCAAGCCCCTTCTGAAAATATATTGTTAATCATATTATAGATTGGTATCAACGCAAATGTTTTGGTGCAAGTTTACCAGGATTTCATAATACCAACTTATATTTTAGAATCATCTCCGAGATAACCATGTTATCAAGTGTTACAAAATTGTTCTGATAAACATCAGAAGTGTTCATTAACCCCTCAAATTCTCCCTCTCATGCATCAAGCTCAGCTCATTTTATTCTAGTAGCATGCATGAAACCTGAGTACTACTAATACATCGGTTACCGGTACTAAATCTACTATATATCTAACATATAGTCACTAGTTAAGGAGCATAAAACTAGCTAAATTACTGCATTGCTTCACATCACACTGCAAGAATTAGAATTCTCATCATTGAACATTTCACCGTAAGCATCCCGTGGCGGCGAGAAGGCGCTCCTCTGCTGGGGTGCTCCATAGTAGTAGTCGTCAGCTGAAGATTGCTGATAATGCTGGTAGCGGTATGGCGAAGGTTGAGGATAGTAGTAAGGCTCATATGGCGATGAACGGTTGTAGTAGGAAGGCGAGTACTCCTCGTCAATGTAGCCTTGTGATGATGGTCCAGGCCTTGCCATGGGCATCGGCATTGACATCGGCGCCGGTGCCGGTGGGGCGGCGTAGTAGGCCGCGCTCGCCGTCGGCCGTGCCACATTGTAGCTCATGACGGGCACCGGCTGCGGTTGCGGCATGTAGTTCACGTGGCTGCCTCCGCCGTATTCCATTGTCACCCTCGCATCGATCGGCCTCTCCCGGTGTTGCTTTACTTTCCCTTTTGGCTCACTGGATTGCTCTCCTGTTGCTGCTGCTTCCTTGGTCTCGTCACTTGCATTGCCACTGGCGTTGGCATCGGTGTTGGCCTTGGCGTTGGATGGCTCCTGGATTTCTTGATTTGGCTTTGGGGTCTCATCGGTGCTCTTCGTCGGCTCTGGCGATGGCTGAGGGTTGTTTGGCTCCGCTGCGCTGCCTTCAGCTTTGTCGGGACCGGGCTTTTCGGCTGGTTGATCACTCGGCTTGCTGGATTCGTCGCTTTGGTTCTTAGTCTCTTGGCTTTGGCTCTCTGCAGGCGGTGGCGGTGGCTGCTGCTGCTTTGGCTCCTCTGGCCATGGCTCAGCTTGCTTGCCGGACTTGCGCAGCTTCGCAACGAGGATGTTGGCGTCCATATTTCTTGAGGCCGTGACTATGACCTTGTTGCTCCGGGCATCGACGTCGCATCTGAACACTCCTTCATGATCAAAAGGAACACAGAAATTAGGTCAGTGCCATGTTAATTTACAGGTCAAGTTGAACAGTTTCTTCCTCAATTTATATTCACAGTATGCATGTTTTCACTTAGCATTACCCTTCCTATCACTGTCATGTTTTTTTTCCCTGAATTCCGCAAATTAAAGATGCCCAAGCAAATATACCTAACAGAGTGCATTATAATTCGTTTTAACTCTTCAAGATACAACTTTTGCAACAAGAAGATCACAAATGGACTTTAAAGCTACACAGTTACATAGTAAAGATCACTCGGTATGCGGTTTGAGGATTTGATAAAACATACCAGGAACATGTTGAAGCACTTTCTTCACTTTCTTCTTGCATCCTTCACAATGAATGGACACCCTCAGCACAAGAACCTAAATCAGATATCAGACATACAAACCGATCGGTTATCAGTACACTCACATGGCCTTTATCACAAGAAAGAGGAACAGCAAAAGTATGGAAATTGAACATAAGGGAATGTGTTGCCAGGCAGCCAAGAACAATTTAAAGAACAATCAGCGAGCTATCTATAATCCTGAAGAACAGAAGAGAACACCTAGTAACTGAACCGTGCTGGTGAGCTGAATAATTTCTATCATAAGTTAAGAGGAAAGAAAACTAAAAGGATGAAATTTAGCACCTGACACTCTATAGGCTCTGAGCCGGAGGCCATGGGAGCAAGTGAAAGATTTTGCAGGAGGGAGGGGAAAGTGAGGGAGGCTTGTACTGTGGGGGAGGGTAGAGGAGATTTTATACCCTGCACTAGTTTAACAAGTGAAAGGAATAACAACTCTAACAACAGCTATAGAGGTGAGTGGACGTTTCGTTGAGCCTATATTTTAGTTGGGGTGTGACTAGGGGAGGCTCCTTTACAACTTTACAAATGGACAAAACACACCCTTTGAGAAGGTAACTTAAAGAGGAGGTGATAGTTGTTCATTTCTCTTCTTTGGAGAACTCATCATGAGCTGTATCGCTGAGATTTTGATGGAAGATAAAAACTACTTTTGGAGGATGAATCACACTTGATATATGTCTTTGGTTATTGCTTTTCTATTGTGGAGCTTCTTTTGTTGTTATAATCTTTTACCTTTCATAAGATAATGATTGTCATAGATATATGTAGTGTCGATTCAACAGATCTTTACACAATATTGATGTTTCAGGGAAAATTCAATTGCCAAGGTAGGTTTGCATAATTATATTTTAGATGTTTGAACACACATGTTCAAAAAAGGAAATATGTCCATTCATAAAACACATACTCGTGAATAAAAGTTTAGCTTACAAAATGATCACATGCAATTTTACACGGCATTGTGTTAGTTTGAAAGTACAAGCTAAAGTTGTGTTAATTATATGTCATCACTTGTCCATGCATGCTCTTCATGTGTTATTACAAAACGTACCCTTGACACTTTTACCATTTTTTTAACCATCCTTTTTTTCCCATTTACTGTATAGTCAAAGTTTCACAACCCAAACAAGCAAAAGTGAAGAGAATTACATGAAGGAGACGGCACTGAACTACAACGCGGATGAACAAATAAAATTTAATATTAGGGCATTCCTTTCATGTAGTCTTGTTAAGATTCTTTTCCCTTCTCTAGAGTGTTCTGGTGTTGTAGGCAACCACAGCTTAGTGGCTTCCTTTATCATGCCAAATAAGAAAGAGATAGGCCTCTGCTTTTGTTAGTGTTTCCCCGTGCAAAGGAGGAGTTTTATTTTGTCACAAAATTGAAAGGTAGCAACCATTGTGACATATAATACACCTTTTTTGCATGGAGGAGGAGAAGAAAGCATCTATTCCAGCCCTGCCTTTTTGACAATGCTTAGTTGTCCAAGAGGGGTTTGTTTATATCTCGCTTTACTGCATGATTAAACGGAAAACGCTGGTCATTGTCCATATTAGCAAAAGCTTAATTAGTTAACAGATTCATCTAGAATCAACATCTTGAGCCGCCCCGGGGTGGGGGGGGGACAGGTATTTTGATATGTTTTTGTCACACAGGGAAAAGGAAAATTCAGCCATCCTTGAGATATCATGCACTTGCTTAGCACTGAGAAATTAATTAGATTGTATGCCTTTATTGGAGAACTAACTTCTACATTGTCTCATGGCTTATGTGCATGCTGAGGTAATGAACCGCTATACAAAGATGTAAACGTAAGTGGCAAAAATGAAGCCGGAGAGAGATGCACATCTTGGTGATAAGAGATTGCGACATCGTAGCCATCCTGATTTCTGCAGTTCTCATTCAAGAAAAGGAAAAGGAGACTTTGACCCATCGACTTTTTAACACCGTCGATTTCAGGAACAAAAAAAAGAAAAAGCCATCACGGTCAGGTATGCAATTTTCTCCGTCAGACACTTAGTTACTCTGTTCCACGGTCTAGTTCATTGTTTATTGTTGTCACCAGTTATCATCCCAATTACTGTCAATATTTACAACAAATCGCTTCATTTCTGTGATTCTGCTAGTTGCTACTGTGATTCCCCCAAACAAATCAAACTCACGTCATGAAAAATCATGACGACATATATAATATATCCCTCCTTTTCTGAAGTATCTGTGCCTGTCAAGAGCTCCAGGAAATTTCCACGAAATAGGCTGAATCAGCTGGTAGAAGGGGAGCAACAAGCCAAAAATATGAACTCCGTCATTTGTATTGTCTGTCCCTTTCAAAATTTTCTTCCTGGCTTCACCTCCTCTTCTCCCCAGCACCACAAACCAAGATGATAATGGCTGCTCTTGTTCTGTTGCTTCCTCCTTTTCTCTCCGCTGTTACTCTTAGCTGGAAAAAGAGATGGCACAGACTGCGAAAGCAAAAGGAGGGAGGAGTGCAACAAAAGCAACAGCACAGAATCATATATTTGCATTATGCAATGGCATGAGATTAAGAGAAAAAAGGATACTAAAAGATGTTGATGGTCTTTTCAGCTTCAGAGACCGTAGAATTTGATTTCGATGTATCTTCTCTTTTTTTTTTCAGGAGTGGTTCACGTCGTCGTCTGGTGAGTTCTTGTTGAGTTCTGGGAGGAGTGAAGAATATGGCGGCCTCGGCCGGCGTCAGTGACGAGCACGTATGCGGTAGCACAGCAGCGACAGAAAATATTCAGAAATAGAAGGGATGCATGCAGAGAGATAGGTGCGTGGCGTCTGCCGTTTGGTGGTAACGTAGAGCCGCTTTAACTCCTGCAGCTAAAATATTTATTAGATGTTCTTTTGCACTGTCAAATTTGTTTTTTTTAAAAGAAATCCTCGAGCTGCAAATTCGAATTTGTTAGGCACATGTCTCATTCTCATTGTTGACGAGTTAATCATTCTTTTTTTTTTTCTTCAGGTCAACTTTATACACGGTTTCGATGTTGTTGGACGGACGGACTGAGAGATGATGGGCTGGCCCAAGCCTATTACACTACGGCCCAAGAGTACGTTTCCCCGTCCCTTTTCTCTACCTGCATTCGGCCTGCCAAAGTTTGCTGCTTACAGCTTTACGTTTGTGCTGTTTTTCTCTCTTTTCATCTCATCCGTAGTTTTCTCTCTTCGTCGTAGAACTAGTACTATATTATACTGCATGCACTGTACATGTACATCCGTAGATTACGCATGATTACGGGGACACATGTCCTATACCGTATCTTTAGTTTGGACTTCTAGATACTATTGCTACGTACGTACTGTACTAAAAAAAAGTCTAAAATACGTATTGCACAATACGTACGTAGTAAAATACGTATCGTAACAATACCGTACCTACTCTTGTCTAGTGTAGGTCGACCGATCCACCTATGTTCAGTGTCGCCTCACACCCCCAAAATCCCTTCTCATTCTCAGCTATATATTAGCTCTCATTCACCAGCCTATAACAAGTCCATCAAATCAATGAAATGCTTCAACCAGGAACGAGGCAATGGATCGTTTTGTCACCTTCCAATTTAGTGACCCAAGCCCCGAGCCTTCGTCTTCATCGCTTGTCGCTCAAACGCTCATCCCCTTTCGCCCTACTGGTGAGTGGTGAGTGGTGACCATGCCCGTCATTAGCGTCAGTATGTGTGTGCTAATGTCATGCCATGCGCGAGCGGCCAATGCCTCATGCTGGTCAACACCACGGCCTGCGATGAGGTGCTTAGCTTATCTTGTACTCTCTCCATTGTACTAAGATGTGTCACATCCATCTAAAATATTTTATATCATGGGATAGAGGGAGTACTATCTTATATGTTCTTTTCTATTTAGTTTATTGATTTTACTTTATTTTTATACGAAATATAGTATGATATGTGTGGTCATGTCTGTTGAGCATATTCGTTCATCTTTCTTTTAGAACCGCGCGCGTTCCTTAAGCATATACTCGTGGTCAAATTTGTAAGCACCTGCAAGGCTGCAAACACATTGCAGCCGCACAAAGTTAGCCGGATCTGATTCCACCGACGGTTGAGATGGGCCGACGGCATGTAGAGGAGGAACCGGAGAGTCGACAGAGAACGACATGGAGTCAAAGACAAATATCCGTTCATGTCCCATCCCAGTTACTACTAGCTGTGTGTAGCATAGTTGCATATACTGTTCGCCGATGGATCATGTGAGGACTGGACTGAGGCGCGTGAACAAGAAAACAAAACCACTCCTCCTTCCATCGATTTTGGTAGCATGCATGATTGGCATTCTCGGCCAAGGCCCATCGTTTTAATTTGTTTTGAAAAAAAATAAAGAAGTTATTGTCACCTGAATTTTTTCTATGGGTGTGTTTGTTTTGCTACCATATCAAAATGTTGGTACTACCAAAACCTAGACAAGTTTTGGTAGTGCCAAAATTTTGGTAACCAAACACTAACAAAATACTATTTAAAGTGTCAAACAATTTGGTAGGGCACATTTTAGCTTCAAACCAAAATGGCCCTATAGCAATATAGGTGATGTTTCTCAATTAAATTAACTAAAGATGAAATATATACGTCACATTTTAGGTACAGAGTGGATGAGTGGGTAAGCTACACAGTGTTGATAGTGCAACTAAATAATTAACAGGATTATATAATACAATTTTACATAGCCGCCACTATGTATGACCAAATATACATTGCCTGAAACATATATATCATCGCCTTGTTTTTAGACTGACAGGTCATTAGTCTTAGATATAAAAGTTGGTACATGTTTTTGAAACCTAAAAAGTTGGTAAGTGTGGGGATTTATGAATCTAGCTTTGTTTACTAAAGATTTTATAAAGACCAACAACCGGCATCCACGCCTGAGAGGAGCTAACCCACGCATGAATATAATGGCAATTCGATAAGATATGATGGGGCTTAATTCTATCCTAGCTCTAGAGAATCAATTTAGAGGTTTGCTCTTGGCCTAACAAACGAATAAGCGGATCGAGGTATATATTCAAAGGATAGATGATATGGCTTTTCTGCTAACTTGTTCCCATTTGGCGTTATTAGTCAATTTTTTTTATCATTATTAGTCATTTTTAATACTAGTACTTCATTTGCTTACTTCTTTATTTACTCGTCACATCAAATTCCCCATTTATTTTTTTCTTAACTTTTACTTGCTTCCTCTTCCCTATGTATAAAAATATGCTACTATCTCCGTTGTAAAATATAGCAACATGTATCATTCAGATCTGTACTAAGACCGTGTTTAGTTCACCCCCAACTATCTCCAACTTCTAACTTTCCATCACATCACATCACATCCAAAACTTTTCTACACACATAAACTTCCAACTTTTTTTCAAACTTCCAACTTTCCTCAAAATTCCAACTTTTTTCAGGAACTAAACACAGCCTAAATTCAGTAATAAAATGTTGTATTTGACGATAGAGGTAGTAGGACTTATCAAGATCATCTTGCCATGCTGCATTACCACCCCCCATTTGTAAACACTAGGACTTTTAGGCGCGCTTCGCGGCGCCCTACCATTCATTAATTAAGAGCTATGTAGCTTATAGATGGTAATAGGGAAACATTTCATTAAGAGCTATGTAGCTTCAAAGCAGAGCAAATAGCATGACTATGAGAGAGACGCTGAGAGCACCTAATCTAAAGCAATGAAAACATTTGACCAATGTGAAGGCTTCGAACTTCAGGAGTAGCCTGAACAGTAAAAAACATTTGCATACTTCAAAAAGCTCTACTAAGATTATATAAGGCATATTATCACATCCGCAATTGTATATAATTTCACTATCACCATCTGTAATTTTTGACACGAAAATATTTACAGAGTTATGTACAAAAGCTTAAAAGGAATTTTTTCTTTAATTTACAGAGTTATTTACCAATTCATATCCATAATTATGGGATGGAAGGTTCCAGTTGTACAACCTACAAAATGCACAAATGGTTCATGAAGTATTTCATGTAATATAAATGAGCATTTAGATATGTGGAATCTGATATGGAACCTTTGGTGGCTATAACTTAACTGACCAAGTGAACTTCACCTCAAAATCAGATGCAAAATAAGAACAATATAATGGTGTGTGCCAAATTCACTTGAGTTTCTAGTTTCAAAAAATCAATTCGTCCTTACAAAGCAAACCAAACCTCTGACTGCACAGGATCTACAGAGCAACAGATCACAGCTCCAAAGTATATTGACCTGCCTGCAACCTTGTGGCTCCACGCATTCAGCTCTTTTGGTGTAACTGGCACTCAATGTATGAAATTTCAGCATGGAAAGGAACTGAAAGGTTCATTTTTCTTTCAAAGAACAAATAAAAAATGTAATGTCAATCACCAAAGAAAATTGTGTAGAAAGTGAAAGAGTATAGCAATTAGCCCACTTAGCAGTTTGTACTGATTTCAAGTTCTACTGGAGCAAATTGCAGTGTCCCTAAGCAGAGCATGATGGGTGTAGGAATCTTGGTAGATATTTGCATAGGCCATATCATTAATCTCCGACCTCTAACCATTATGTGTTCAATTCATGGAAAGAGGATTTTGTGCCATAGCTCACCACAACACGTTTCAGATCCAATCTATAGTATTTATATATTACCAAACATGTTCTTAATTTCATCATTTTAACAGAAACTTCCACACAATTTCTTCACCAATTGCTATAGGAGCACTAAATATATATCAGTTTAAATCAGCATGGCTTAGCCCTAAATTAGTAGAGTTCATTCTGCATCTTCAAAGACTACCAATGCTGACTTGCATCAGCACCACAGTGAATCATCCAATTACTTAGCCACACCTACAGTTTGTAATTTTAGTCAATGATTTTTGCCTCTCAAATCCTAAAGGCCAAATGAAGAACAGAGTTACCTTCAAGTGCTTGTAATGATCTCACCGAGCCCAACAACCTAAATGCTATTGGTTGGTCTAGTCCAAAAACCTCACCAGAAGCATCACAAGTCCAAAAACGTACTTCTATTAGTAAATGTTGAGCTTCTCTGAAGGTTTTTGTTCTAACACAATCTGCCACATAACTTCAATTCTGATGTTAAGGAGCAGAAATAGAGCCTGAATTCTGCAATATAAAATCCTTTAGTGAGCAAGTATCAAGTCCAGAAACCTTTAGTAAGCAAGTATCAAGTCTAGAAACCAATATAAGTGTATACTTGAAAATGCAATTAATGGAATATATCAATGTATACGAAAATAGGTCTAGCCCATTCAGTTTCTTTAGGAAAAAAAAAAGAGCCAATTCAGTTTCATTATGTGCAAGGTAATCTTTATATGTTGTCAACCATGTAGCTAGAAGCATCAACACTAATAAACATTTGCTTATGTAAATGAAGCACAAAGGCATTTAGAAAACAACTCCCCCCTAAACAATCTCTAATAAACGGGGACATTCATTTCTTTGAAAGAAGCATATATGTAATGTGAATCAACAAATAAAATGTGTAGTAAGTGAGAGTAAACATCAATTACCTCGATTTGCACTGATCTCAGTTCTCTACTGTACTAAAATAAAGAATCCCTCAGCAGAGCAGGATAGATTCATAGATTCCTTGTAGTCTTGCAGACATTTACATAGGCCATAGCATTACTTGTAAGAGGCATGCAAAATATCATACCTCCGACCACTGTAATAAGCAATTTGAGATAGTGGCTGAGATGATGGCGAGCAATCATATCAGAACATGCAGTGAAGGTTTCGTTAAATATGATCGTCATTTAGAAAAAGAGTTCAAGGTGAACCATTGTGGAACTAAAATATCACCTAGTAAAATTGAAGTGGAAGTAGGAAAAGGCAAAAAAAAAAAGGTTCCCAAAATACCTATACATATGGATTCTCAATTAATGATGAAGTTGCATACATCCATTGCCCCTAAGTAAATTACACCATAAATAACAATGGCAAGGCAATTGCAAATGGCCCTTGGCTAGGCGACGACAGATGGTTCCCAGATTACCTGTTGCTAGCCAGATCTGCAATTGCGAAACAGTGTCGGCGCCGCACGGCAGCGGAGCTTCAAACTTGAGCAGAAGGGCGCCAACCCACTGTGGAGATGGAGAAGGATTGCATCGGCTGAAGAGAGCACAAAGCAAAAGGAATCAAATATGAATTACAGAGACAAAGAACTACTAACCAACGGAGAATTCAACACAACAATAGCCCATGGCAATGCAACATCACTGATCCAGACCTTCATGGCGAACTTGAGTGCATGTACCCACCGGATCTAGCGATAGGCCAGCAGATCGATCACCTCGTTGTCGTTCTCCATCACCAGCAGCCCTGGTTGATCTCCATCACCACCACCCCTACTTGAACTGGGAAGAGAGAGGAGTAGTATTATTATGGTGTGTGTGTGTGTGTGTTGGGGGAAGGGAGGGCGTTGGCGGCGAGGAAAAGCGCAGGAGGGGGAGGCCGGCGTCTACCCACCGGATCGAGTGGCAGGGCCAGCAGATCGACCCTCTCGCCCTCGTTCTGCATCATGACCACTCTCCCTGCTTAACTGGGAAGAGAGATGGAGAGATTGGGCAGGGGGAGGGCGACGAAGCGACGACAGGCGTCACGGCCAAACCTCGCCCCGAGCCCCACGTGGTCTGGTCCCTCCGCAGGTTCACCACGGCGTCGACGATTCACCAACGACCACAGCAGCGCCTGGACGAAGGAGAACGCGCAGAGGAGTTTGTGAGGAGGCGGCGACTTCGGTGCGGCTAGGGTTTTTGGATGGCAGTAGAGGGCAGCCAAAAGTTAACTCCCCCGTCCACCCTCGCGTGATGGACGGCAAAAAAGCTCGAGGGGCAAGCCGTCGTCGCCGGCGAGGAGAAGGCAAAGCGGCGGCGGCGCAAGGGCAAGGGAAAGGAAGAGAAGGGATGGGGGAACAGTAGTGGCTAGGGTTTCGAGGGAATGGGGGGATTGGGTGTTCTTTTTTTTTTCATAAAACTCCCTTACTTTCTCTTTTTCAGGGCGCTGTCCTATACTTGGATATAGTCATATAGAGGGCCTAAGGCAGTGAACTTACATTGAGGACTTAAGAAAGATTATCAAGGTAAGAGAGGATTTTTTTGCAAAATTACCAGCTCCAGCGCTCGCATCGTAGATGCTTGATCGGACGACGCTGCTGGCGAGTAACCAGAGCGCACCAAAATCAACAGCCTTCTAGCGCGCGGGGGGCGACGTGGATACACGCGCGTGCGTCCACGCCGTCCCAAATTCTCTCGTGCGAGCACTTCGCCCTTGCTTTTAATTACCCCGATTAGTTCTCTCTCCATATTTTCTGTTTGACGTTGGTTAGCTCAAAATTGATCTAACGAACGTCATATATTTGTGCAAGAACGTAGTATTTTTTTAGTCTTTTAGTAAAGGTTATGTACAAAATTTGAATCGTAAAAATGCTGAACAGATGGAGTGTTTATGTTAGAAAGATACTCCTAATTACTCCCTCCAGAATATAGCAATCTAGGATGGGATTAGACCAATCCTAGGACAATGTATCTGGACATGAGGCAATGTATATGTCCAGATATATTGTCCTAGGATTAATCTCATCTTATTCTATGTTGCTATATTCTGGGACGGAGGAAGTAATAGTACACCTGGAATGGTCGCATTGTATTGACGGAGAATGACAGTGTACTAGGGCTGTGTTTAGTTCACACCAAAATTAGAAGTTTGGTTGAAATTGAAACGTTGTGACGGAAAAGTTGGAAGTTTGTGTGTATAAAAAAGTTATGATGTGATGAAAAAGTTGAAAGTTTGAAGAATTATTTTGGAACTAAACTCGGCGTAGAATTTGCATGTGCCCGGTACCTGCTAGTCGGTCAAACTAAACGAGCAGTAGATCCTAGCCGTCCTAGCTGGTCTACTCCTACATATGAGAAGCTTCGAGATCCGGACCTCCTCCCAGTACTCACGTGAACATGGAAGAGCATGCACCAACGATGATGCAGCTTCGACCGTACTGCAGTTGCTACGACCAATAGCTAGAGACGAAACCACATGTAGACAGAGGTAGACAACGAGTGAACAAACTTTTTACTACTGGTATTTGGGCTCCAATCCAAATACGACGTTACCTTACCAAAATTTAACCATACTAAAACTCATCAAAATTTAACATTGACAATAATTTGGTAAGATTAATTTTGACCGTAAACCAAACCACGGCTATCAATACCAGCAAATAGACAGAGGGAGTAGACGACGAGCGAACAAACTTTTTACTACTGTTGTCCAGTCCACACTCACACTGCCACACACGCACAACCCTAGTACATAGCATAAACAAACACCAGCAAAAGATAACTTAATTAACAACGCTAATTAAGTGTACGTACAACAACAATCAACAGTAATTCCTAAACTAATGATACAAACCCATGCAGAGACGAAGGCAGTAATTAGACGAGAGGTAGATTAATTGGATGGTTAATTTAGACACTTGGGTGATTAGACGTCGATGACTCGGAAGGCGTCGCGGTTCTTGACGACGATGTCGTACATGTGGACGGAGCCGAACTGGGAGAAGTCCTTGGGCAGCGAGATCAGGTCCACCGACGAGCGCTTGTGGAACTGGAGCATCATGGCGGCGGCGGCGGCGGCGCCGCCGCCGCCGGAGTAGTAGCGCTCCCAGCCGAGCGCGGCGAGCTTGCGCTCCAGGGAGGCGTAGGAGGTGACCACCTCACCCGTCGGCATGTGCAGCAGCGCCTTGCGCCGGATGCCGCCGCCGCCACCGCCGCCGCCGCCGCCGCCGCCGCCGCCGCTGTTCGCCGACGCCGGCGGGTTCTCCACCAGCTTCACCACCCCGTTCCGGAACACCCACACGCCCGACATGTATAAATATTTTTGCTTAACTGAATTCCTCGATCCTCCCTTCGAAATGATCCCTAAATATTTGCTAGCTCAACTGAATTTCCTTCGAAATCTCCCTAGCTAGCTAGCTCTATATATTATGTGGATGGATTGATTATATTTGGTGGTGTTTTGGCTGCTGCTTGGATGGAAAAGGATGGCGCGCGAGAGGGGGCTATAAATAGGGATGCAGCCGTGCACCGGGCAGCTGTACACGTTTTTTTTTTCTTTTTCTTTCTGCAATGAGATTCGTGCACACGTTTCGAATGCTTGAATTTTATTATTTCAAAAGGTATACTACCTTAAAAAACCATTATAATATCAGATGTGACATATCCCAGAGTTAGAAATTCTGGTCATTTCGGAAACAACCCCCCCCCCACACACACACAAAAATGATATTATTTTGGCTGAAATTTTTATTTTGTTCAAACTTGACTAAAATTTGTTCAATACTTCGGACCTAAATTTTTGAAGTTTCGGTATATCGGCACTCTCTGATAGAAACATCCAAACCGAAAGATTAAACCCTAACACATTTTAGTACTACGAATCTAGATCGAGATGTGTCATATTCAATACTAAGTTGGTTTTTATGAGACGAAAAGAGTATATGGGTAGTGTTAATTAGGATCAGTTCTTTTTTTTTTGAGAAAATGAAATTAAAACCTGCACAGTTACAGATGCTGTGTGATGGGCGGATCTGGTCGATCGGAAACGGATGGTGCAGACACAAGGTCTTTGGTATCTGCAGTTAGCTAGCATGATGATCTTTTTGCATGGTCAGCAGAGCATCGCATTCGATCGATCGAGCAGGGTCGGCCCTGTATATATGCTTACTGGATTGAATACGCCTACACTGCACGTATACCACGTATATATTGGGCTAGAGCTAGGGTGGCATATAAGCATATATGTAGCTTATTAGCTACAAGAGATGCAAAGGAATGCCCACCACCTACTCCGTCTCCGGAGTAGATATGGATCCGTATAAATAATTATAAGTGGGACTAACTATTCATTTGTCGACAAATTTTCTTCTAAAAATTTGATAGATATAATTATAGTATAATCGTAGTGTAATTACACTGTAACTTATATGTAATTACACTGTAACTTGCATGTAACTACAGTGTAACTTATATGTAAGTTTTACATAATTTTGAATCGTTAGATCTATTACAAGATTTATTTTGGTGAGGAAGAAAACAAATCATAGCACACACATATGTGAAAGAATTTGTTCCCACGACCTCCAATTTACTGAAATAACATGTTACGGAGAGATTTTTGAAAGTTACATACAAGTTACACTATAGTTACAGTGTAATTACACTATGATTGTATTGTAATTACATCTGTCAAATTTTTAGGGGAAAATTTGTCGACAAATATATAGCAAAATCGTTATAAGTAGTTGTTTAGTTTTCAGTCGCATGAAAATGCCTAAAATATCTATAAATTCCAGTCACTTCTTTTGGATCGATGGTTAGTGTTTCATTAAGATTCACACGAATGACTTCTCTCCTCCCCTTATGTCTTTCGTCCCTTTCTTCCTGTCTTGTATGCATCGATGGCTTTGTTTTTCGTTCCCTGTTGATCGTGCCTTTCTCTGCCTTTACCCTCGTGTTGTCGATGAGAACTGTCAGATCTATGACCACCCTCTTCCTCCCCCTTCCCCCGGCATTCATGAAGAGCTACTCTCCAACTCTAACAGCGTGAATCTCCCACACCACTGGTCCTCCAATCTTCTAAGATAGGTCTGGTTGAGTATTTTATGTACCGCAAACAATATACTTTAATAATATTGGATGATCTCTTCAAATAATTATAAGTTTATTGTCAAATATCCCTTCTATCAAAAAGACCCCTGGCGAAGCTAGCTTACCCAGGAGTGCTTTTTATTTGTATTCATGCCTTTTAGAAAGAGCCGCTAAATTAAATTATCTTTTAGGGGAAGGAAGTATGATTGCTTTACCAATGCCACTAAATCCGTCATTATTGTCGCAGCTGCCTCCTAACCATTTTCCTTGTTATATTGCCCACCACCAACCCATCATCTGCCTGATGCCTCCATCCAATCTCTATGTCTCGACGTCCTCATTGTCCTCCCCTCCAACCCAAAATAATTAACCAGAGATAGTAGTGGATGGTTCATAAAATCATAGCTCTTCAATTCCTCCCGGATATATCTCCACCTTATCTCTTGGGTATATACGATGCTGTTATGTGCACACATGCTAGTTCATCATTATGTGAACCTATACCTAGCTAGCTAGCTAGCTTCCATTTGTTCTTCTTTCCATCCACTGGCTCTTTTCTTTTTAATTTCACATGGAAGCGATGATTTTTCATTTTAGCTCCATCATTTTCAATTTTTTTCCATCAGTTTAATTAGCTAGCTAGTCTGATGAGGGACATATATATTTCAACCAGCTGGTCATAGTTAAGAACATAGTGATATGTATCCCCTTGAGCAGTGTATATGGGAGTACGGATCGAGCTAGTCGGAGACATGCATGCTACTGATGTACGGCTGCAAGTATCAGCAGCAGCATGCATGCAATGCAAGTATGCAACCAAGGACAGCTATGGTATAGTAGCTAGTGCACAGTGCAGCCAATAGTGATATCCCACGGAATCCAATCCTCGATCCATCGATTCTAGCTAGCTTTATATGCAATACAATATATGCAAATGGATTAGCATCTATTCTCAGTCAGTGGTAGCCACGGGATTTTAAGTTTAGATGTTCACTCAACAATTTTAAGTATCTTATCCCTAATATTTGGTAGGATAGAAATAGAAGGATTTAGGATATATAGTTGGCTATCATATTTGAAGTGGTGGTGGTGTGAACAAGAGCCCAAAATAATATATTTCCTGAGAAAAAAAATATAATATTGAAAATAAAGTATTAGGTCTAATATTACTATATGCATATATGACATTTCCTCCGTCCAAAAAAACTAAACCTAGAAGAGGATGCAATATTTTCTAGTACAATGAATTTGGACAAAATATTGTCCAGATTCATTGTACTAAGAGATGTCGCATGAGTTTTTTTTTACGGAGGGAGTACCTACATATATTAATTTATTGTATATTTTTTTGGATATTCCAGGATATTCCTGAGAACCCTTGCGTACGTCTGTCCCTGTTCACTGGCCGATTGGTACTTTACTTATAGGGCTTTATTTTGGCAGCTACACTTTCTCTTAGGCCGTGTTTGAGAGCCCTCACTCCTCGGCACGCAAAACGAAGCAGCGTTTAACGCGTGATTAATTAAGTTTTAGCTATTTTTTAAAAAATAGATTAATATAATTTTTAAGCAACTTTCGTATAGAATCGTTTTGTAAAAAAGACACCGTTTAGTAGTTTGAAAATCGTGCGTGTGAAAAACGAGGAGGAGAAGTTGGGAACATGTCCTACCGAACGCAGCCTTAGAATTCTTAGCTCTCCTAAATAGTCTAATTCTTCACTCAAATTCTAATATCCAGGAACATAACTATAGAATCTAAAACATAAACTAAATCTAGAAGCTAGAAAACTCACCTTTTCTAAATTCTTACCAATTTATTTCCACCTCCCATACAAGACCAATAGACCATGCATAGCATAGATAGAGAAAATTAATGGATGGATGCAAATTCTGCCCTCCTGACTCTATATATTCTTGTGGATGCATGATATCTTCGCCTCTAGGCGATCGAGGAGATTGCTCGATCGATCGCCATCAACGGAATTGATGAACAGTTAAATTAACCAGCCCGGCCGGCCGCTGATACATCTCGATCATGATTCTCATCGATCTCCCTCGCGTATACGTGGACAAAGAATTTTGATTCGGCCGGTAGGTCTCCATCGATCGATCCATATGCCATGCATGCAATTTCTCTACCTCGATGCTGGCTGGCTCTGGCTGCCTTGAGTGCGATTAATTGTGCGAATATATCTTAATCTTAACTAATATAAATATTAGTATTTTTCCTGTCGTCACATATCTGTAATCGCGTGTTTTCGTCCGTCATTATGCGCTAATTTTCATCCGATGCGCTACTTTCCGATTCTGGTTCGATTCTGGTTAGATTAATGCACCACAAGCCCACATGCCCAAACAGATTCTAGGATTCCAGGTCCATCTACAAGCCCATACTCCTTCATCCAAAAAAAAAATTCTAGGTCCATCTACAAGCCCACAAGCCCACAAGCCCATACAAAAATACATCAGTTCAAGAACAAATAAAAAACAAAAAAAACATAGGAGTCCAGGTTCAGGTTCACTTACAAATCAGGTTCAAAAGCACAGGAGTCCAGGAACAAATAAAAAACAAAAAATAACACATGAGTCTAGGTTCAGGTTCACGCACAAATCAGGTTCAAAATAGAACACAGGAATATACCCACGTCAGGGAATTTGCCCAGCCGACGTCAGGAGTCAGATTCTACCCCGAGTTAGATTATATCCCGCTTTTCTTTCGTCGAGTCAGGCTGGTTCCCCCACACTGTTTCCTACTCCAGCTTTCAGGAGTCAGATTCTATCCCGAGTCAGATTCTATCCAGCTTTTTTTCCGCTATTTTTAGCTAGCACTCCCACTAACATGATTGTACAGATTTTTTTTCTCAGGCCAAAATACAAGAAAATATAGATCGTAAGGCTCTTCCTCTAGGACGTCAAGGCACCTCCAATCAATGTCGATTCCAGGTTATCAATGAACTCAACCCTGTATGCAATTTCAATTTCATTAGATTCTACCCAAGGTGCTTGAATAATTACTAACATAAGCACTTCCATTAATCAAGACTTGTAAGGTAGTTTATGAATGAACTAAAAGTACCATCTAATTAATTAACATATAGTGGTAATGTCTAGATTCGTTTCACCTGCAAAGGGCAATGCAGTTGTGCAGTGCAGGGATTGAGGACTGTCTGCTCATACCAATATGTATCCAAATCTTTTTCCTGTCGATGCAGAACACAAAGCAAGTTAGCAACATGCATATTTTTTAGTTGTTCAGTGGCTATTATCACGACTCCTTACAAGACCACAAAATTTATGAGTTGCAAACCCAAATATGAAAATCTCTTTTTTAGGTGGCTTTATATAACTAGAAGAAAGAAAACTTAAAAGTACTGGTAATTGCAGCAACAGCAATTTTATGCAGAAAAGCATTAACTGTGCAGACAGCTGAACCATTGTTTAATTATTGCAATTTTTAATCATGCTCCACCATAATGTTAATCATGCTCTAAAAACCACACTGTAGCAAGTAAATAAAATACAACTAGATGGCGGCAGTACCGCTGTGCGGCGAATGTCACAAGTACCACCTAGATTTATATTCATCTCAATATTCCATAAGTAGTAGAGCTACAAAAGAGATATAATAATTTGTTTCTTACCATTGTTTTTGAGAAGATACATCCTGCTTTTGTTGTTGATAATGTTTATCTATAGCTTCAACTTCCAAGATAGATGTTGATGCCACATAAATGTTTGGCAAACTTGTGTTACAGCACAATAGCCCAACAAAATCCATGTGCTTATCTGGTGTGCTTCCATGCTGTTCCCATCAAAACACAAATCAAAACAAAGCTGGTGATATGTGTTTGTGTTACAGATATGTGATGATTATTGATTATGATCACAGAACTGGTGCCCCGCAATTCCACATTTGAAAACACAAGCTGAGATAAGAACTGTATTCTAAGCAACAGGATTACTACTATGCAAGATGATCCCAAGATTTCACATGAACAATATGATGTATTGTCTTAAAAAAAAATAAAGTACCTAGGCGGTTGTGGCTGGAACCGACGGCGAGTCAAGGACATCGGTCGCTGGCAGGCACGGCGCGGGCGAGATCTCCTCGAAGTCAGTCGGCCGTAGCCCGGCCTCGAGAGCTGACTAGGCGAGGTATGCACCGCCCTGGATTCCAGCTCCTGCAGCAGAGCCGCGTCGGTGCCCACCATGCTCCCTGCCCGGAGCAGCTTGAGCAGGAAGTCGCACATGATGTCGTCCTCGGCAACTCTGCTGTCGCCGCCGCAGCAGATGCCGGGAACTGGGTCAGCCCACGTCCACCAATCGTTGTTGTCACCGTATGAGAGGCTGCTGGGTCCGCCCCTCCCGTCGTCGTTGGCGGCGGATCCGCGCGAGCAAGGAGCGGGGAGATGACGGGATCTATGCGGGAGGAGAAGAGGCCGCCGGATCCACCCCTCCCGTCGACGCCAATGGCGGATCCGCGCGAGGGGAGGGCGGAGAGGATGGGATCCAGGCGCCGGTGGCAGATCCGTGCAAGAGGGGAGCGGAGAGACAACGGGATGCATGCGGGAGGGGAAGAGGTCGTCGTTGGTTCGCTCCCCGCCCACCCGCCTCGCTCGCCTGTCCGCTGCTTCGCTTCGCTCCGCCCGTGGCCCTCCTCGTCGGCCGGAGCCGAGTGAGCCGGAGCCGAGGGGGTGGAGATCTCGGAGGGAGAGAAGAGCAACCACTCCACTCCCACCGGCCAACGCGCCCTGCTACTCTCCAGCCGGCTGCCACACGCTGCCTTGCAGAGAGGGAGAGCAGCAACGCCGGCTGGGAGCCTGGGAGAGAGAACGAGAGAGTGAGAGGATAATGATCTCCAAGTTGGAGACAGCCAACCACACAATTCTCGCCTCAAGGCCACATGCGAACCTGCACGTGGCATCTAATTCATTTTCACCCCTAATAGTATATTGTATCCCGTACTTCAATAAATACAAAATATTGTTAAAAATACCCCCAGATTAGTACTCACACATTGATGTCCAGGACCTTGGAACTTTTATTTTTTCAAGACTGATCTCATGTACAAATAGTAACCTTTTATAGCTGCATATTGAGTTGACCAATAGAAGTAATTAACCTACAAAATTATATACGTTATATAATTTTTGTGATTTTCATGTGGTTTGACAATTTTCGTAAAATCTATATCTACACCTATATACCTAATAAAAAATACATAACGTTTTCGGGTATTTTTTGTCTGTCGTTTTTTTCACTATTTTTTCCGATTTTCTTCCACCGCTATTTTGTCGCTTAAGTTGTGTTTTTCTTTTCATACGCAAGGGTGTGCGCATACATAAGGATTCAGTATTTTTATCCATCCTTTCCTTTTAATCCCTATTTAACAGTCATCGTTTTTATCGTTTTGATATCAATTGAATCAAAAGCCATCAACCAATTTTGGAAGATCGGAAAAGATTCAACTACCAATTTTGGAAGATCGGAAAAGATTCAACTGGATATGATGGCGAGGATCAGCTCCAGTATCGTACATGCACGAGACTGTTTTCCAGAGGTTGAAGACAGCAGTCTGTGCAAGTCGGCTCAAAACCAAGGAATGAGTATAATATATAGCGATAAAAACATTTTTACCCGTTGCAACGCACGGGCATTATGCTAGTGTGTGTATAGGGAAATGAAGATATGAACCTAGGTTCATTTGCACCTGCAATCTGTACCATTAAAATGCTGTAAGATGTGTGCTAGCAAATGTAAAGGAAGGGACATGAATGGTACACAATGGTACTGTGTTTCCTGCCACCACTTTTTAGCTTTCCAAGTTTGCCCTTGACATGGTTCCATTCCATTTTTTTTTCTAATGCATATAAATTAAGGATGCCAAAATTTGTGCCCCTATGTAACTATATGTACCCTAGTACAACGATTTTTGCTAATAGAACTTGTCATACATTGATATTTCTCCAAATGAGCTTCAAACAACGACATTCCAAAACAATTAAGCCACCAATCAACTTTAGATAACATTGTAGAAAAGGGAGAAAAATAAAATAGCCAATTATCTCTTCTCGTAAGAAGAACAACTAAATATCAAATATATTGTGTGTCATTATACAATAGACTTATATTACATCTCCATTGTTTAGAAAAATGATTTATTCTCATTTCATCGGTGCAAAATGACGTTCACAAATCATATCTTAATACCTATATATATATCCATACTGACACTTGCAAAAAATAAAAACTTAATCCTCCAAAAGGACATCCATAAATGATTATCCATCATCAAAATGTCATTTACAAAATGGTGCATCTACTATATCTCCATTTTGACATTTGAATTAATGGAACTATCTCCATTCACAAAGGGTATTGTTGACAGAAAACACGAGGCCTGTGAGATCTGCTTAACTCCAGTGCAGTTCCAAAGCTCGCCTTCGAATGTATGAGCGTGCCAGTTGATTTGATCTTGCAATCAACAAGAAATAGAACAAAGAAACCACAATTAATCCTATAAATGATAGTCGATCAGCTAGGTGCCGATGACACATCATTTATTTCAAGCCGGTGTCATGTGTACATCGATCGACAAATATCAATAAGCAACCAGAACTAAATCTACTCGATCGGCTGTAGATATTAATGATATATAATCCTTATATCGATATATACTTAAATCAAATGATTGGGATAGATCGGTCGCCTTCCCGAGACAGTATAAATCACTTAGATCGAAATATATATTAATAGTAGGATTATATACATTCATAGCATAGCCGATTAGGTGGATCTAGCATGTATCGGCTAATACTCCGATACTACTCTATACTAAGATTTTAAAGCAAGTAGAATATACTAGCTTAATATTCTTTGATGCGACAAGATCTTAACATAAAGGGCAGATTTAACATATAGATCAAGCATATAGAATAAAAGTAGTTAAATCAGATAAGATCGGCTGAAACTCCGATACTACCCTAATCAGCAACCAGAAAGCGGGCTAGAGATTGCAATTCTAAGCACGACTTAATAGATCAAACTCAACTGATGCAGCATTAAGTATGAAAAGAAAAAACAATATCTGGACAATCAAGCCGCTGGAAGTTTCATAGAGTGGTAGATATATCACATAGTCTAAGTTAACATCATTGTCTAACCTAATCGGCTGCCTTCCATTAACAGATGTTAGCCGATTACAGATTAGATGAAGATATTATCGAAGATTATGTGAGATATATGATAACTCGATGAATTATATAGACAAGATTAGAGTGTCATAAAGATGGAAGCACTAATCTTGAGAACATAAGTCGTCATGACAAGCTTTACCTCTTGTTGAAGATCGAAACCGATGCAGCTCAACCCGAGAGCACGAACTCGTCGAAATAAAAGTAAAGCATAAAGGGTGGCGATGCGCCGAGATTGTATTGGATGTCTCTTTTTTTTACATAGGACTCGGGTCTATTTATACCCGAGAATTACAAGATACGTTCATAACAGACACGACTATTATCTCTAACAAACTCTAAGATATCATAAGTCTTTACGGCAGACTTTTGCCCAAACATATCTCTAAGGAAATTAAATAGAATATCCTAATTAATAGATACAATTGCCTTCCCAGGACTCTATCCATGCATGGCAATCATCTTGAAGCACATCAACTTGAACCCGATGACGTACACCGAGTCATATTATCAGAATCGGCTGTATTGGCTAACCCCGTCCGACTCGAACTCTGCCGACCTGACCTTAGCCGATTTGGACTGCAGCCGATTCTTACTCTGCTTCCGCAACGATCTTCATCTTGGATTCCACTTCGATCTGATCTTCACCTCCGATGCCAATAGTGATAGAATTTACCAAATTTGGTTGTTAACACATGCCCCCCAAGTCCGGAATATTGGATAATGTTTCGGATTTGCCATATACCGACTCTGAGAGAAACTCGCACTTGCTGTTTTCCCGTCCGTTATCGCTCTACTTTAAATACTAACCGTTGCCCCAAAGAATCTTCACGCCGTGATTTTCGTTTTCACCGCTTAAACAGATCCCGTCCTCTCTCTCCGGCGACCTCCTCAACGCGCAGGGCGATTTCCAGGCGATTCCACTCCCGGCCAGATCTTCACCCGCGACGATGTCGACCTCCACCAATCCAACCGCCGCATCATCAGCCGAATATGCTGAGGTAAGTCCCCATTGGCTAGATCCCCTTTTCCGTTCATCAGACCGGTTTTCGCTCACCTTATCTTGTTTCCTTCTTCTCTATTCTTGTAGCATCTTTCCAATCTTGTTGCGGTTCCCAGTCTGTTGCATGACCAACAATACTTTCTCGGTCCAATCGGCAATCTAGACCCCACTGAGTTTATCATAGCCGAAACCAACAGAATCCCTTTTAGGTCGACCAATCCAAAAACAAGCCATTGGAAAAACACCTTCAAATCCTGGCCTTCCCTGGAGAAAAGCTGGCCTGTATGGTACAAGCGGATATCGGCCAGCAAACAAGCCCATTGGGATGAGATCGGAATCAGCCAAGCCCTAGCCCTCACAGTAGCATATTCGGCCAAAGATGAACCCCTGATGGCTGCTGCAACTTATTTCTGGTCCAACACCCTCAATGCTTTTCTTTTCAACCAAGGGCCGATGACCCCAACGCTACTGGATATTATCATGCTTACTGGCCTAGATGTAACCTCATCAGCTAACCCCATGAACCTGAACACCAAGAACACTTTTGAGTTCAAAACTAAGAGCATTGGGGGTTGGTCAGGATATATCACAGCATATATGGGCAAAGGGCCAGTCACTCCCAGAGAGCACGTAGCTTTTTTGCTGATGTGGTTGGAGAAATTCCTTTTCTGCGGATCAAGCTGCGGTCCTACAACCAACTGGCAATTCTTAGCTGAGGCTCTAGTAACGAAGAAACAATTTCCCTTAGGCAAAATCCTTCTCGGCTATCTATACCAGATATTAAACAACGCATCGGCCAAGATAATTATCGGCTCAGTGGTTGGAACAGGTGGACCATGGTGGCTCTTGCAATCCTCGCTGAACCTGGTAGTCATGAAAGTTGTCAATCGGCCATCTGTGACAGAAGCTGAATTTCCAAGGTTGGAGCCGATTGTGGAAGATGATGGAGAAGAACGCACCCATCGCAGATGTATGTCATACGGAGAATATGCATCTACACCAACCGATGCAGGAGCAAAGTTATCGGCTGAACTTCTAAAGGACTGGTTCTTCAGCTTTTATGATGGATTCCAAAAAGATGCCCGAGTTTGGTTCTTCTATGCCGACTCAATGGATTTCGAACTGCCAGCCGATTTCAGGTTCGAGGATATTAATCATGAAAAGTTTCAGCAATCCAGAGAAATCATTACTACTGCTATCAGCCCATGTATCCTTCCAGTCGGCATCCATCAAGGGAGAAATATCCAAGTCTCCTATGAGTTTTATCATCCGATGTCATCGGCCAGACAACTTGGAATGGGACAATTGCCAATCGGCCTGTACTTTGCCGATAAGATCCAATGCAGAGGCGACATCTCCTCAACTTTAATGATGGATCGGCTGTTGAACATCCCTTGACCTCCGTTGGGCAGTATCGAGAACATAAAGCTGGCAAGGTTCAGGAGCAGGGCATTTGACAGATGGTGGGGCGCGTGGAAGCTGCATCTGTTCCATCAATCAGCTTCCATGTACATGACAGACTTATTCCCTGATGCTATCCCTCAGGTTAATCTTCATTTCTTCAATCTTGCTTGAATAGTCAATCAGCCGATTTGAACCTTGACTAACTTTTCTTCTGTTTTGCAGACAACAGAATCTTCTCCTCCTCACCAGAGCAATAGCGGCAAGG